TCTGTATGGGCTCAAGCAGAGCCCGATGCTATGGTATGAGGCCTTGGATGGGGTGCTGCTTGGGGCTGGATGGAAGAAGAGCAAGGTGGATGAGGCTCTGTACTTCAAAACTGATGCTGATGGGGAGATGTGCTGGCTGCTGGTGTATGTGGATGACCTACTTGCTGCCAGCCGCAGTCAGAGCATGCTTGGGGAGCTGCGTGAGCTGCTGCAGAGTGCGTTTCAGCTGCGGGAGATTAGCCCTGTGGAGAAATATCTGGGGTTGCAGCTGATTCGGGACAGGCCCACGAGAAGGCTGTGGCTGCACCAGGGGGCCTATGTGGACAAGGTCCATAGGCGCTTCTTTGACGGGGAGCAGCCGCTGCGAGTGCCTCGCACCCCTCTTTCCTCTGACCCTTTCAGTGTGCAGACCTTCGAGGATGTGGGATGGCAGTCTCGCCAGGAGGAGGAGTACAGGCAGAAGGTGGGATCCTTGCAGTTCGCGGCCTGTACCACCCGTCCCGACATCTCGTTCGCCTGCAGCAAGCTGGGGTCGGGCCAGACTGTGCGGAGTGATCAGCACTGGAAGGAGTTGGACCGGTGCTTGACGTACTTGGTGGGGAGCAGGGATGTGGCGCTGGAGTTTGGAGGTGGGTCGGAGTCCTTGGAGCTGGTGGGCTACGCCGATGCTGATGATGCAGGGGACAAGCAGAACAGGACCAGCACAGGTGGCTATGTCTTCGTGCTTGGGGGTGCTGCTGTCTCATGGGCGAGCCAGAGGATTCGTTGCGCCACCCTCTCCTCCACTGAGTCTGAGTATGTTGCTGCTGTGGAGGCCGGGAAGGAGGCGCGCAGGCTGCGCTTCCTGCTGGCAGAGTTTCAACTGCTGAGGAGTGAGGAGCCCACTACTCTCTTTGTGGACAACTCCTCCGCCATTTCAGTGGCAGGTGGCATGGGGCTCAAGGGGAGCCTCAAGCACATGGAGCGTCGCCACATGTGGCTGCAGCACATGGTCAAGCGCAGGAAGCTGCAGTTGCAGTACATCCCTACGAGCGAGCAGCCTGCTGACTTCCTCACGAAGGCATTGCATTTCCCCGCCTTCAGTCGTTGCTTCGAGGCTGTGGGGCAGGTGAGGCTTTCGAGTGAGGGGGGTGAGACCTAAACACTCCATGATGTGGATGGTGCCATGGCCTATCCATGGCTGGTGCGGTGCGTGTTTGCACTTTGAGAGTGCTTCGTTTGTGTGTGTTTCCCTTTGTTTTGGCGTGTACGTGTGTATGCATGCCCTGTCGTTATAAAGGGCCTTGCTGTAGTATGGCAGGGGAGTGTTAGAGGGCCCTACAACAGCAAGGGCCCTCGATGACCTTTGACTTGGCAGGTCGACGCCTAGCGACTGAGTCTACTCGGCACCGACGAATGAGTTCGATGGAGGTCGCATGAAGAAGTGAGAGTCCGTGGGAGTTGTTGGTGCTTCCTTGAGAGTCGCACCACTCTTTGCTAGGTTGGTGGAGTGGTGTGCACGGAAGCGAGAAGTCGATGCTGAGTTGGGTTGAGAAATTGGCGAGGCGCGTTCGCTCACCCACACACCACTTTCGTGGGGTTGGGTTACTCGCAGCGCCCACGCAACCTCTTGTGAAACCCTCGCCTGCCTATATATGTTTGTGTTGCTTGTGTGTTTGATATATTTTCTATGTTCCTAGTGAAGTCCAAAATGCTACTTCAATTCTCACCAAGTCCTTAGAGGCAAATGCTACCGAAACTCTACCAAGTTGCTGGCGCAACATCATTCCCATAGCAGAAACTCTCTCGTTATCGCTACGCTCTCTAATAGATTCCTTCATAGCGGGCGAAGGGAGGAGCGTGGGGTGAGCGAGGTGGACGGAGAGAGATGGGGAGCTTTTAAGAAAACTTAAAACGAGCGACGGAGTCGGGCACGAGGAGATTGCGGAAGCGTAATATCAGCCCTCACTCCACCCCCACCCCATTCCGTGCCCCAGCCCCCCTTCGCTTTTCCCCTCCCACACAAACGCTCACGCCCGCGCGCTCACGAGCGTACCTGAACGAGCGACGGCAGCAGCAGCAAGAGCACGGCAACACATAAAGCTCGATCCTGCGACGCGTCGCGTCGAGCCGCAGCCATCACGCCCGGCGATGTGACACAGGTATTAGCTTCTGAGAATTCTCAGAACCCGTTATCCGCGCGGTTCGGCGAAGTTGCGGCGTGGGAGCGAGGCTTGGTGAACGGAGGTATAGAGCGGTGGCGCGCGGTGCCGCGTGGAGTGCAACTGAGCACCGTTGCTCGCGGCGGAACGCTGCTTGGACCTCTCGGGAAGTCCCGTCACTGGGGTCTTCCAAGGTCCTGCCCCTCTCGTGCTATATATCGCTCTCTCCGTCTCCTGTCCCAGTCTCGAGAATTCGCGTGAAACAGACTCCGAGGACGTGCTATTTATGCATTGTATCGTCATCGGCATTCCTCACTCATCCTACGGTCAGCAGCTCTTCGCGAAATCCTTCCGCAGGGACCCTCACCCCCGCGACCACTGAGAGTCGAGAGAACTGCTCTTGTCGGGTTGGGACGCACTTCTGGCGGCGCCGGCGGGCCACTGGCAAGCCAGGGGCGCATGGCATTGGGGGCATCATTTGCTCCCAGTGGCATTCGTTGCTCCCAATGACGGACATCGCCGCTCAATCCGGTCTGATGCATTCTCGCTTGCTGGTTTGCTCTCACGCGATCTTGCGCCCTCGCGCCGATGCTCTCTGCCTATCCTCCTCTCCTCCACAGTCGTTTTTGATACGGTACGCGCTCCACAGCTCGAAGCTCCCTGGACCGCACACTCTGATAAGAGCTTCGAGTCGCGAGTAGTGACAGATTCTCGTTGTACGGTTGCACTGTTCGATAAGAAGAAGAGAAGCATTAGAGGCTAGGAAAGTTAGCCAGATACGTACAGCGCTCGCAGCTTCGGTTTTAGGCATGCCAAGCAGGGACCCGAGCCTCGACAGGCACGGTATTCCGAGCAGCGAATCCCAACGCAGAGAATTCGAAAATATATTTGGTCGGTGGTGTAGACTGCGATTCGTGTGGGTTTGGGATGTTTCGGTTAAGTTTGGTACATGCTGGTTTGGATCGGTGACTGATGGTGGAAGTGCGGAGAGGAGGTCTATGGGATATCTGTAGACACACTTACACCCAATTGTTCGTTAATCTCAGCAAGCGCATTTCGGTAGGAGATGCTTGTCCTTTTTGCCCGGTGATTTTAACGTCTGCGAGTCACATTTCCCTGCGTATTGCCGTCCCTTGCTCGCAAAATGTGGCTATAAATACGTTTTTGAAACTTTAGGCCGGCCTGACCTAATCATTACATAAATTTGGCCTCGTCTTTAGCGCGAATGCGTGTAACTCTAGTGTTCTGACACCAATTTTCTTCGACGTTTAGCAATTCAATGCTGAACTGATCACACATGTGAATCGATTCTATGTGACATAAACGCATCGCTCCCAACCTTCTATGTGAACGTACCGAGCTGGTAGCACAATCGCGGGAACATCAAACGAAGAAGTGGGTGTACACCCTGTTTCTCGACCCTCTCACCTTGCGCGATTCGCTGCTACAGTGCGGTCAGGTGCCATAAACCGTATGGCTGAAACCTGCGGGCAAAGCCGCACCAGCTGACGGAGTGGTACTGGGGGCAAAATTTTTCTTTATCGCTGTATACCCTTTTCAACCGCTTTGAAACGCTTGTTTAATGTTCTTTACCATGCAGCATCCTAGCTAACCGCTTTCTTGTGAATGTGCTTGTACCGTCGGTGATAAGACCATTTCAAACGTGGTGACGTTCTACAACCAGTGCATGTTCTGCAACCAGATGCTCTGCTAGCGCGAAACAGGGTGTACAGTATGGGTAGCCTTGCCCACTAGGTTTGACGTGGCGGCGATTCCTATCAACTCCTGACTCCTCGCTTGAAATTCTCACCAGGTACACTCTGTTGTTCCATTCTGTTGCGCGCCTCGCTTCACACAGAAATCTCTCAGGTTTCCAGGTGATTCACAGCTGAACGAATCAGAATTGTTGCCAAGCCGCTGGTCCTGGCTCGACTGAACCACTGATCAACTCTCACATTCGTTGTTTTTGGACACGGTACAGCGCCTTGACGAGTGGTTGTTGTGTTGTGTGGTTGGTGAGCTGGGTTGACAGGACTAGCATAGAGACACATCGAGCCGCAGAGAGACACTCAGGTGGCCCTTTCAGGCGGGTGTCACAGTTGAAACTTGCTGAGGGCGTGTTACATTTGTACTTCAGCCCGTCCGGACGAGCAGTCGTCCGAACTTTTTAGCGGCTACCATTGTCGTTTACCTTCGTCAGTTTCCTCTTTAGACCACTTACGATGTCGTTAACGAACGGACCGATGATGGAACATTTTGCGTGAATTGCCTTCCCAACTCGACCGGACAGTTACAGTTCGATAAGTGGACGGACGTAACAGTAAAACAATTTTATTGGTCTACGATTCGAGTCTTTCAGTCGCTTGAGTGCTACTTTTGTCGCAATCTCGTCTTGATCATGGTTACAACCTAGCGAACACTCTGAGGTTGAAAATGTTTCATAAACAACGTCGGACGAGGTTTAGTCTGGACGTTGGACCCGGACTGGCCGAGATTCGGAATCTGAACCGTTCTCCGATGGTTGTCCGGATTTTAGCCGCTTTTAGAAAATGTAACACGCCCTAAAGATCAGTACTTGTACGCGTTAGATCACTATTCGCTAAAATGAACCAACATAGAATGCAGAGGCATGCCCCATACTAGCACATCACTTACAAGTAACTCCGTCCTCTTCACCCACACCATGCATCTTAACTAATGCAGCAGTACCCTATCATATGTTACAAGTTACAACCTGTCGTCAATCATTATGTTAACCTGTCCCACACATCATACATGCTGCAGCATGCACCATGAGTGCCACAATTCACGCTACCTTGGACCCCTTCCTTGTGAGATTACCCAACTTCTCTAGTCCAATCAACCTTTCCTTGACCTCTGGTGGTTCTTTGCCTTCTGCTTCTGTCCCCCTTTCTTCACATCCTTCTTCTTTCCTTTCTTCTCCTTACTCTGCTTATTCCTCTTGCCCTTCCCACTCAAGACGACACCTGATGCAGCACCTGAACCCGCAGAAGCCTTCTGCTGCAACTTCTTCAACTGAGCAGCACCCTGGATAGCTCCCTTGACTCCGGTAACAGGTTTCATAACCCCTCCTCTTGCCAACCCCCCACCGCCTGACTTCCCCTTCCTCCCCAGCTCCACCCCTTTCTTACTTGCTGCATTCACCGCATTCCTCACTGCATCTAACTGTTTTCCTGCCTTAGATACCACCTCCCCCACCAACCCCCCCACCAGTGGAGCCTTCACAGTCCCACTGCCACTGCTGCTGCTGCTGCCTCCTGTTCCCCCAGTGGCGCTAGGGGTTTTGGGAGTAGAGCTAGATTCAGGTGTGGTGTGTACCGGGTCAGCACCAGCTCCACCTGCGTTTCCACCTGAAGAATCACCTGCAGCGCCGCCTGCTCCAGTCCCAGCATTCCCACCCGATCCTGAACCTGGCTGCTTGGGTTTCTTCGCATTGCGCTCCGTTATAAGCTTCTTCATTCCTGCTGTAACCTCTCCAATCTTCTTAGCTGCACCTTGGGCTGCATTGCTGACTGAGCTGCTCGCACCCCCAAGAGCCTTTCCAATCGACCCTGGGACAGGAGGGATGACAGGAAGGATCTTCTTGGCAGGAGGGTGGTCTAGAGATGGTGGCGGTTTGTCTGCTCCTTTCCCTTGGCCTTTTCCTTCCCCCCCAACTCCCCCTCTCCCTCCTGTTCCGCCTTGTCCTCCCTCTCCCACACCAACTGTGTTCCCCCCTTCCGCTTCGTCCGCCGTACCACTCGTGTCAGTTTCATCTCCTCCCGTTCCGTCAGCAGCACCATCACCACCCTCAGTTTCATCTCCACTCGTTTCATCCCCCGTTCCCTCTTCCCCACCATCCCCGCTGGTTTCATCTCCCGTTTCATCTCCCGTCCCATCTCCACTCGTTTCATCTCCAGATGTCCCACCAGACGTGCCCCCTGTAGCCCCTCCACCGGTTGCATCTTTAGGAGGGGTGGTTACATCTTGAGGTGGAGTCGTTACAACTGGTGGGGGAGTCGTACTGCCACTGCCGCAGCCCTTCTCATCGCTCCCGTCCCTGCAATCCGCCTTGCCGTTACACTTGAGCGTTTCATCTATGCACTGCACCCCATCGGAACACTTCCAGTACCCCTCTGAACACTCGTACACCGAGCAGTAATCCTGATCTTCGTCCGGAACGACCGTCCCTCCCCCTTCGGCCGCCACCGCACCGCAGTTTGCCACGCCGTCGCATACCATACCTGTCACGCAGGCTTGTTTTCCGGGGCAGAGCACTTGCTTCGGAGTCAACGGGCAGTCGGAGGTACTCTTGAGGTCGACACAGAAGCCCGGCCACTCGTCAGCGCCGTACGGGCAGTCAGCCGTGCCGTCGCATGCTGCTGCAGGGTCGAAGCACCAGGGAGCATTTGCGATGGATGTGAGAGGGCAGGACGTCTGCAGACGGGAAGGTGTGAAGAGGAAAAGGGCAAGAGAGGAGAGGATGAGTGCCGTCATACGGTGCTGCGGGGTCGAAGCACCAGGGAGCACTGGCGATGGATGTGAGCGGACAAGGCATCTGGAAAAAAGAAAAAGAAAGGAGAAGGGAAGGAACGCTTGAGGTCGACACAAAAGCCCGGCCACTCGTCAGCGCCGTACGGGCAGTCAGCCGTGCCGTCGCATGCTGCTGCAGGGTCAAAGCACCAAGGGCCGTTGGCGATGTTTATAAGCGGACAGGGCATCTGTACAAGGGAAGGAGAAAAGAATAGGAGGGGGGGGGGATAAGATGATTTTAAACCTGCTCACACTCACACCCACTCACTTGCGCTCCCTCGCTACCTCCCCCCACACCTCGCCCCACCCTTCTTTCCTTCCCCTCCCACCCCCGCCCCCTCCCCGATTCACCCGCTGCCTTACCATCTCAGGCGGACAGCCGTCCTCGTATCCCCCGCATTCCCACGGCTGCTCGTCGCTCTCGTCGCCGCAATCCGCCGTGCCGTCGCACAGCTGGTCGCCGCTCACGCACTCATCGCCCGACGCGCAGTACCACTGGCGGAGGGGAAAACGGAGGTGGGGAGGGTGGGGAAAAAAGGGGAGGAGGGGGAGAGAGGGGGAGGAGGGAGCGGGGGATGGGGGGGAGGAGGGAGCGGGGGATGGGGGGGAGGAGGGAGCGGAGGATGGGGGTGGGAAGCGGTCAGTCGCACAGTTGGTCGACGTTGCCCCGCGGGCAGTAACATTGGCGGCGGAAAAAGGAGAAACGAATAAGGGGAGCGGTGAGGAAGAGACTAAGAAGCGGAGAAGTGCACCCTGCTTTCGTGCGACTGCGCGAGAGAGAGGCGGAGGCTTGGCGGAGGAGGGGGAAGGAAGGGAATGGCGGAGCGCGCACCATGTTTTGATCCGAGTCGCAAGTGATGGCGAGGGACAGGTGAGCGAAGGACGAGAGCAGCAGCAGCGCGAGGAGCGGCGTGACAACCGGCGCTCGACGCGCAGCAGACACGCGCCTCGGTGCTGGATTACTGCTTCTACGGGCCATAGCGGCTCTCGAGGCGCCGCAAATGCCGACGCGAGCTGGGATACGGAAATGGGCGTTGGCTTGATCGGAATGATAAGAAAGAGTGCATATAATAGCGGCTCTCGACTGTGCGCAAATGCAAAACAATGTGATTGAGCTGAGCTGGAGAGGGATTATTGGATGGGAAAGTGGATGGTCGTTCTATCGTTAGCGAGAGACTAGTACTACACCCCGTACTACTCGCATTGCATGCGTAAAGCTCAGTGTCTAGTGAAAAGGGAATCAGGGATTGCCGAAAAGCTTTCACGCTGCATTGCATCGAAACAAGGCACCAGGAGACGGAGCAAGGAGAAAGGTACGGACGGAGGAAGGGGTTTCCCGTGCCTGTCCCATCCAGGATCAGTGTGGTTCGGGAATAGGGAATTTGCACTGATAACATGCTACTAGCGAGGATGAGGATGAGCACAATCAGAAAGAGCTTCGCTGGCCCAGTAGGTGATGAGAAGAGCGGAGGGGATGCTGCAGTAACGACGAGCGGTGAGCAACATTTGTTTGCCCCTACCAATGTTCAATTGGCGGTTTGCAGTTTTGCCTGGGACTGGTGGAAGTTTGGCGGAGGAACATCGGAGCAAACACCTGACCGTGTTGTTGCCGGCAGTTTGGCTGAGTCCGAAGAATGCGATCCAGCCAATGGTGTGCTGCCAGACTGGTTTGGAAGTTGATCACTCGCGACTCCAATGTGTACACAACAGTTTTGCGACTCGGCTTCTGTGGAGTTTTGTGGAACTGTACACACACTCGCAGATATGGCAGACAGAGTGGATACACACTTACCTGACGTGGCAACCTGGGGTGCACTGTTTGCGAACCGCAGGGCAGGTTTCAGGAAATTCAGGTTGCGAATAAGCTCCGACTGTATCGAAGCTTGAGCATTCTAGCCAAGGTGCAATGTGGCCGTGTACATCTAAAGATTTCCCTACATCCTAAACAAATTTGATTACTGTATTAGCAATCTCGAGCGATTAGTCTGCTTTGTGAGGAGATGCAGACGCCTTGTTGGAATCTTGGGACTTGGATCCTCCGCCCTTCTTGCGCATCTTGGCTTTGATGGTAAGCTTAGTGGCCACAGTAGCTACAGTGTTGGTGAAGTTACCAACTGCCATAACTATAAGGAGAATGCCACATGCAAAAAGCTGACAAGCAGAGGGGAGGGAAAGAGATGAAGGAAAAAAGAAAACGTGAGGTGAGGAGTGGGTGGGGTGAGAAATGGGTTAGGCACAAGGCTTAGAAGTTGGTAAAGCCGTCCTTCCAGGGTAGAGTGTAGGCAAAGCACCTCCAGTTCTGCATGTCATTCCCTTTCGCTCTTCCTAATACCGAACTCGTATGACCACATTTTCCTTCCAAACCTTCCCCTTCATTCCCCCCCTCCCTCTCTCCCCCAACCTTCCAACCCACCAACTCACTGCATTTACCCACACGACCCCACTTCCCTCCCCATGCCACCTTCCCTCCTTCGCTGAAGCACCATCAGCAGCCATACCTGCCACTCGAACATTTCGTAGAGTGATGTGCGGAGCAGGCGCACCCCAATATAGAGCTGGAAGAACTGCAGAGGACGGATGAGAGAGCGGGAGGGAGAGAGGCACGTGGGAGGGATTGCAATGCGGTAAGGTGCGGTTGAGAGGCGCACGCAGAGGCAGCCCTTCAAAGAAAAAGAATGAGAGTGTGAGGAACAAATGCAAAGCGGCTCACCTGATTCAAAGAAAAGGGAGAGAGGGAGGGGGGGAACATAGATCTCTAACGGAAAACAGATGCACAGCGGCTCACCTGGAGAATGAAGAGCAGCGGGTAGAGCAGCACGAGCTGATTCTTAGAAAAGGGAGAGAAGGGGTGGGGGGGAAGAGGAAACCTCGAGCTCTAGGAGAAAACAACGGCACAGCGGCTCACCTGGAGAATGAAGAGCAGTGGGTAGAGCAGCACGAGCTGATGCAGAGGAAAATTAGAGAGAGCGAGAGAAAGGGGGGCTCACCTGGAGAATGAAGAGCAGTGGGTAGAGCAGCACGAGCTGATGCAGAGGAAAAAGAGAGAGAGAGCGAGAGAAAGGGGGGCTCACCTGGAGAATGAAGAGCAGTGGGTAGAGCAGCACGAGCTGATGCAGAGGTAAAAGAGAGAGAGCGAGAGAAAGGGGGGCTCACCTGGAGAATGAAGAGCAACGGGTAGAGCAGCACGAGCTGATGCAGAGGTAAAAGAGAGAGAGCGAGAGAAAGGGGGGCTCACCTGGAGAATGAAGAGCAGTGGGTAGAGCAGCACGAGCTGATGCAGAGGTAAAAGAGAGAGAGCGAGAGAAAGGGGGGCTCACCTGGAGAATGAAGAGCAGTGGGTAGAGCAGCACGAGCTGATGCAGAGGAAAAAGAGAGAGAGCGAGAGAAAGGGGTGCTCACCTGGAGAATGAAGAGCAGTGGGTAGAGCAGCACGAGCTGATGCAGAGGTAAAAGAGAGAGAGCGAGAGAAAGGGGGGCTCACCTGGAGAATGAAGAGCAGCGGGTAGAGCAGCACGAGCTGATGCAGAGGTAAAAGAGAGAGAGCGAGAGAAAGGGGGGCTCACCTGGAGAATGAAGAGCAGCGGGTAGAGCAGCACAAGCTGCCCCTTCATGCCGGCTGTCTCCCCCCACACCACATCCATCTGCCCTGCCTGTTGCCATGTGCCATACACCATGCACACATACACCCATGCAAAAAAGCACCATACACCATACACCATGCACCATACACCATGCACCATACACCCATGCACCATGCACCATACACCATACACCATGCACCCATGCACCATGCACCATACACCATACACCATGCACCATACACCCATGCACCATGCACCATACACCATACACCATGCACCCATGCACCATGCACCATACACCATACACCATGCACCATGCACCATGCACCCACGCACCATACACCATACACAATGCACCCATGCACCCATGCACCATGCACCATGCACCATACACCATACACCATACACCATGCACCATGTACCATACACCATGCACCCATGCTCCCATGCACCCATGCACCATACACCATACACCATACACCATATGCCATACACCATGCACCATACAGCCATGCAGACATGCACCATACAGCCATACATGCATGCAAACAGCAAACAAAGCAGGGTGAGTAAGAAAACAAGCAGCAAAGACTGATACAATGGTGAAGGCACTGCAAACAAGAACACCTATAGCACCAATAGCACCTAGAGCACCTATAGCTCTACCCATATTCCCCTGTGAAATCCCCGCCTTCCCCACCGATTGCCCACTCACCTTTCCCACCACCTTGCCCCACTCACCTTCCCCAATGCTATTCTGGTGTAGAGGCGGCGGCGCTGGTAGCGGTTCTGCAGCAGCATGGCAACGCCTTGAATGACAGCCCACATGAGGAAGAGCATGATGCCTTGCTGCTCGTTGAGGGGAGGATGGAGATTGGAGGGGGGGCAGGTTGATAAGGGAGTGAAAGGGCATTGAGAAGTGAGCGGTACTGCTCTGCATGCAGTGAGGTGTATTTTGAGGCGCCTCAAAATACTGCTCTGCAGCAGCATGGCAACGCCTTGGATGACCGCCCACATGAGAAAGAGCATGATGTCTTGCTGATCATTGAGAGAGGAGAGGGGGGAGGGGGGGAAGGGAATGGAACAAGGTATGGTGTATGAAGCGGGCAACACAGGTAGGTTCTGCAGCAGCATGGCAACGCCTTGAATGACTGGCCACATGCAGCATGGCAACGCCTTGAATGACTGGCCACATGCAGCATGGCAACGCCTTGAATGACTGGCCACATGCAGCATGGCAACGCCTTGAATGACTGGCCACATGCAGCATGGCAACGCCTTGAATGACTGGCCACATGCGTGAGGCTCACCCCTCATGCTCAATTCTCATGCTCACCCTTCATGCTCACCCTTCATGCTCACCCTTCATGCTCACCCTTCATGCTCACCCTTCATGCTCACCCTTCATGCTCACCCTTCATGCTCACCATTCAACTATTTCGACCCCTCAGCACCACATGTCATCCCCCTCGCACCTGTTTCATTGCACGGTCAGGCCCCTCGATGCCCCATGTGAGGCCCCTCGATGCCCCATGTGAGGCCCCTCGATGCCCCATGTGAGGCCCCTCGATGCCCCATGTGAGGCTCAACTCTCATGCTCACCCTTCACCTTCACTTCTCAACTTCACCTCTCAACCCCTCAGCACCGCCTATCCGCCTCCCCTCACCTGTTTCATTGCACAGTCCGGCCCCTCAATGCCCCACGTAAGGCTCAGGAGGGCCATGAGCATGGCGTAGTAGTGGTGGTAGATCCACCTGGGGGGGGGGAGTGGGGGAGATGGGGGAGGGGATGAGGGTATAAGAGTGCAATGGGGACATACTCCACAACACGTGAGGCTCACGAGGGCCATGAGCATGGCGTAGTAGTGGTGGCAGATCCACCTGGGGGGAGCAGAGATAGGGAACGGAATGCGCGGATTAGGTTGGCTCTAGACGTGCCATATGTGGCAATCACCACGTGAGGCTCACGAGGGCCATGAGCATGGCGTAGTACTGGTGGCAGATCCACCTGGGGGAACGATGGGAGAGGATGGGATGTGGGTGTAGGGGGGAGAGGTTGGTAAGAGCTGGCGCACCACCCATCAGGCTCACAAGTGCCATGAGCATGGGGTAGTACTGGTGGTAGATCCGCCTGGGGGAGGATGATGGGTGGTGGGGGAGGGGAAGGGGGAGCGGGGAATGTGGGGGCATGCAATTTGGATTCTTTACCTGCCCCACAACACGGGAGGCTCATGAGAGTCATGAGCATGGCGTAGTAGTGATGGTAGATTATTTGGGGGGAGAGTCGGAAAGGGAATGGTCGGTTGGGGTTGGTTGGATGGGCGTGGCCCACAACACATGAGGCATGAGGCATGAGGCATGAGGCATGAGGCATGAGGCATGAGGCATGAGGCATGAGGCAGGAGCCATGAGGCATGAGTCATGAGTCATGAGGCATGAGCATGGCAGAGTAGTGATGGTGGTGCGGCAAGGGGGAACACATGTTCGATGAGCTCTTCTCACTCCCTGTCGAGTTTGCAAATAGTGCTCAAGGGGGGCGTGCAGCACAAACAATGGGCGAGTGTGGCAAGGGTTTCCCATCCCCCTATTTTGATTCGACTCGTAACTCTGTTCTCTTTCTCACTCCCTGTCGAGTTTACGGATAGTGCTCATGGGGGACTCACTCCATGCAGCAGAAAAATATGGATTCGAGGTGCAGCAAGCTTAGGGTTCTCAAAAAGTGATTTCAATGTTCACGGATAGTGCTGATGGGGGGGACTCACTCCATGCAGCAGAAAAAGAAGGTGAGTGTGGGAAGAGTCTTCATCCCTGTAGGTGCCGCATATAATCCGCGTGTGATGAGTCGATTATTGAGTCGACTCAAAAATCGACTCATCACACGCGGATTAAAAAAGGTGAGTGTGGGACGAGTCTTCATCCCTGTAGGTGCCGCATCTCCTTCCCGCACTCACCCTCTTTTTTCGCTGCACACCCCTTGTGAGCATTATCCAAGAACCTTTCTTTGAGCCTACTCACCAGGGGCGAATGTCGCTGCCATGCGGAGCATGTTTTTCCGCAGAGCCAGGCTTGTCACTCTAGCTGACTTTTGGGTCGACTCAAAAGTCAGAGCCAGGCTTGTCACTCTAGCTTTCCACCCTTCCTTCCTACTCTTCCCCTCTCCTATTCGCCTCCCCTCTTCCCTTTGCTTCTCCTCTCCCCTCCTTCTCCCCTCACCAGGGGCGGATGTCACTGCCATTGATGCGGAGGATGTTTTCCCGCAGAGCCAGGCTCGTGTAGAACAGCAGCAGCCACGCCTGGGGGACGGGGAGGAGGGAAGTGGAAAGAAGGGAGGTGGAAGAATGGTGTAAGTGTGCGCACTGGACTGCCTTCTTGCAGAGCCAGGCTCGTGTAGAACAGCAGCAGCCACGCCTGGGGGACGGGGAGGAGGGAAGTGGAAAGAAGGGAGGTGGAAGAATGGTGTAAGTGTGTGCACTGGACTGCCTTCTTGCAGAGCCAGGCTCGTGTAGAACAGCAGCAGCCACGCCTGGGGGAAGGGGAGGAGGGAAGTGGAAAGAAGGGAGGTGGAAGAATGGTGTAAGTGTGCGCACTGGACTGCCTTCTTGCAGAGCCAGGCTCGTGTAGAACAGCAGCAGCCACGCCTGGGGGAAGGGGAGGAGGGAAGTGGAAAGAAGGGAGGTGGAAGAATGGTGTAAGTGTGCGCACTGGACTGCCTTCTTGCAGAGCCAGGCTCGTGTAGAACAGCAGCAGCCACGCCTGGGGGAAGGGGAGGAGGGAAGTGGAAAGAAGGGAGGTGGAAGAATGGTGTAAGTGTGCGCACTGGACTGCCTTCTTGCAGAGCCAGGCTCGTGTAGAACAGCAGCAGCCACGCCTGGGGGAAGGGGAGGAGGGAAGTGGAAAGAAGGGAGGTGGAAGAATGGTGTAAGTGTGCGCACTGGACTGCTTTCTTGCAGAGCCAGGCTCGTGTAGAACAGCAGCAGCCACGCCTGGGGGATGTTTGTGCGGCGCCTCGAGGTCGTTTTTGAGGCGCCTCAAAAACGCCTGGGGGACGAGCCCAGAGGGAGAGGGGGTCGGGTGGGGAATTGGCGAGAGGAGGAAATGGGGAATTGGGGAGAGTATTGGCACCACTCTGTTTCCCCGCAGAGTCAGGATCCTGTACAACAGCAGCAGTTACGCCAGGGGGCAAGGCTGTGGGGGAGGAGGGGATCGGGTGCGGGAATTGGAGGCGATAGGGGATATTGCCGGAATTGGAGGCGATAGGGGATATTGCCGGAATTGAAGGAGATAGAAGATATTGCCGGAATTGGAGGCGATAGGGGATATTGCCGGAATTGAAGGCGATAGAAGATATTGCCGGAATTGGAGGCGATAGGGGATATTGCCGGAATTGAAGGCGATAGAAGATATTGCCGGAATTGGAGGCGATATGGGATATTGCCGGAATTGGAGGCGATAGGGGATATTGCCGGAATTGGAGGCGATAGGGGATATTGCCGGAATTGAAGGCGATAGAAGATATTGCCGGAATTGGAGGCGATAGGGGATATTGCCGGAATTGGAGGCGATAGGGGATATTGCCAGAATTGAAGGCGATAGAAGATATTGCCGGAATTGGAGGCGATAGGGGATATTGCCGGAATTGGAGTCGATAGGGGATATTGCCGGAATTGAAGGCGATAGGAGATATTGCCGGAATTGGAGGCGATAGGGGATATTGCCGGAATTGAAGGCGATAGGGGATATTGCCGGAATTGGAGGCGATAGGGGATATTGCCGGAATTGGAGGCGATAGGGGATATTGCCGGAATTGGAGGCGATAGGGGATATTGCCGGAATTGGAGGCGATAGGGGATATTGCCGGAATTGGAGGCGATAGGGGATATTGCTGGAATTGGAGGCGATAGGAGATATTGCCGGAATTGGAGGCGATAGGGGATATTGCCGGAATTGGAGGCGATAGGGGATATTGCCGGAATTGGAGGCGATAGGAGATATTGCCGGAATCAGGAACTAAAGTAACCCTCCCCCAACAGCACCCCCCCCGCCATCCCCCCCCCACCTGGTACACGTGCACCACGAGGCCTGGCAGGCAGCGCTGGTTCATGGCCTGCTTTGCTGCCGGCAGTGGTGCTTCGACTCACCAGTGCCTGTACACGTCTCCCCCAGTAGCCCCAACCAACATAAACCCTCCCAAGTTGACCCCTCCCCCAGCAGCACCCACCTGGTAGTACACGTGCACCACCGCTGGTTCATGGCCTGCTTCGCTGCTAGAAACAGTGACTTGACCCACCCACCCATCCTTACGTACACACTCTCCCCAAGTAGCCCCTCTCCAAGTTGTCCCCTCCCGCAGGACGCACCTGGTACACGTGCACCACAAGGCCTGGCAGGCAGCGCTGGTTCATGGCCTGCTTGGCTGCCAGCATCGGTGCACTGACCCACCAGTACTTGGACATGTCTCCCCCAATAGCCCCTACCAACATAACGCCTCCCCAAGTTGCCCCCTCCCCACCCACCCACCTGGTACACGTGCACCACGAGGCCTGGCAGGCACCGCTGGTTCATGGCCTGCTTGGCTGCCAGCAGCAGCAGCGGCGCGCCGAGAAAGATGAGCGCCGTGCGATCCTGCCAGATGCAAAGCGGGGGTAGAAGACGAAAAGGGGGAGAGCAGGAGAAGGGAGAGAACGGGAGAAGGGGAACAGGAGAGGGGGGAGAAAGAAGACAAGGAAAAACAGAAGAGGTGGGAGGGGGGAGAGCAGGGGCGAAACGAGGCCTCCTAAACGAAGAGGCCACGCACCCTATGACTTATAGTGGACCTATAGTGAGGCATCTTATAACGAAGCAAGCAAGCACTCACCCTGTAGCTGTTGTACTCCTCCTTGACCTTGAACCTCACGTCCCTGCGAGACGAGCGCACGTTCACATGCCCCAGGAACAGCCACAGGAAGAATCCTGGTAGGGGGGGGTTGGTGGGGAGGAAGGGAGTAGGCATGGGCATGGGCATGGGCATGGGGGTTGGGCACGGGCATCGATGGGAATGGGGAGGGGGTGTGGGGATGGGGCTGGGCATGGGGATTGGGGTTGGGATATACATGGGCACGGGGACGAGTACGATGGGCATGGGGATGGACATGGGCACGAAGATGGGTGAAGTGGGGATGGGGATCACTCAGTGGCCTACCGTTGGCTTTGTGTGGCAGCAGCGCTGCTATATCCCCCTCGTACACCATGCTCCTCGCTCGCACCAGATCTTCCTCCATCTGAGCGTTCCATCGCATGGGTGAGCGGGGAGTGTGAGGGGAAGGGGAGGTGGGGAGGGGAGGGGGGGGGGAGTGGGTTGCGGGTATTCAGGCACCTCAAAAACAATCAAGCCACACCATGCTCCTCGCTCGCACCAGTTCTTCCTCCATCTGAGCGTTCCATCGCATGGGTGAGCGGGGAGTGTGGGGGGAGGGGAGGGGGGGAGGAAGGGGAGTAACAGAGCACTCAGTGCGCCATGCTCTCCTGGCTCGTACCATATCCTCCTCCATCTGACGCAATAGATTGCGATGCGAAAACAGAAGCCAATCTTGCAAGGGGCCATGAGGTCGCACAATACAGGGGTTACGCAAGTGTGGATTATCTTAGTCGATCCTCAACGTAGCGGTGAAGGTGACGGGGTGACGGTGACTGGATGGAAAGGTACCTGATCTGTGCGTTCGTGCGTTCAAGAGAATAGCATCTCAGAAGTTAACGCGGGAAGATAAAGCTTATCATCTCAGCGGCGCTCCCGCACCCATAACTACCTCCCGTTCTTCCTACTCGTTCCACGATTTCTCTACGCAACAAAAGAATCCGCCAATCGCCCTAAGAGTCTGTTGTTTCATAACATGTATTTTTTCACCTGCTCTGCGACTTCAGGCGAAACCTCGTCTTTCGCCGCTGCGACGTTCACGCTCTTTCGCAGCGCGCGAAGCTCCTTCTCGAGCGCGATCGCACGCTCGCCGAGAGCGTCGCCTTCGCTCTTGAGTCGCTGGCTATACCCGGCCGCTGTTTCCTGCAGCGCCTTGCATCGTTCCATCACGGCCTCCACGTCGGACAAAAGCTTCTGACCTGCTTCTGTTACTCCCTCCGGTAACGATGCCATGTGGCCTGTGTTCTCTGAGCTGCCAGGATCCGCCATGGCTGGACAAATCTAGGAAGAAAAGCTCAGCAAATATTAGGTCTTACTTCTAAAAGAGATTGACGGTCTAGACAGAATGGTATAGAGACGAAAGATCGGCTGAAACTACGCATGTAACTAATGGTGGTGAGGGGCTAAACGCCATAAAAATGAAGAATCTGGTCTTTCAAGAATGATCACCATTGACAGCAGCCAAGAAATGAAAGAACGATTCGACAATCCCAAGATTGTTGGAACCAACAACAGAACGGTCAAGATCGGCGAAGTGGAGAAGAATTCGCCGCAGAGTGGAATCGACCATTGTCAACAGTCAGGAATTGATGTGGCTTGCAGTTGAATCTGGAGCAGGTTGGGCCAGACATGAAGCACTTTTGGCTTTCCCGAGGCTCACGGCGAGGTTCGTGGTTTGATTGTATCGGGGTGTGCTTCGCATTGAAGTGCATGTATCTTCACTTGAGGGGAATGGGATATGCTGTACGTTGAGGCACTGTAGTTCTTGATAGACTGACGTTCGGGATGTATCGTTTATACCACCTGCTTGAAACGCGTCCACGTCGAGCTGATGTCGTTGCTCTGCCAGTCAGCACTTGCCACCACTCCAGCTAATTCGTAACTTCGAAGAAGTTATCCTCCTCGCAGCATTCGCGGAGCTTTCCAGGAGATGGCTGAGAGAACTGCGAGTCAAGTAACGACAAAGATCCTGCGAGTCGCCCATGTCCACGCGGCGCTTCTTGGTGCTGCGCGACCCGAAACGATGACTCTGCGAAGCCTCGCACCAGCAGTGTCTCGCACGCAGCGAAGCCCCCAATGTGGTCTGTGTTCGCGGCCCCATTCACAGCCAGCCCGATCTGTCGGTGCCGTCGAGTCATCGGAGTGATTGCGACGAGGTGAGCGACGAAAGCGACGCACCTGGCCGACGAAAGTCACAATCTACACGCAGTCGCACAGTCTGCGAAACCCACCACTGCAGCTGCATACGACACCAAACCTCCCTCCCGACTCTCCTTTGCGACCATCCACTACAAATAGACCGTCCCTCCGACACAATTCATCACATCAGCAGCAAAAACAGCCCCCATCTCACTTTTCTACTGCTAAACCTAGTAAGCAGCTATCGGTATTACTACGAAATTTGACCTAGTAAGGAATTTCTCACTTCTACCAGCACAATGGCGCACTTCTCTCTCCAGACTCCCGTCGGGCAGTTCGAGCACGACGGTCGCAATGCGCAGTCCCTGGGCTCCCAGCGCAGCTACTTAGACGACTCTGAGACGAGAATCTGGATCAACGAGTCCGCAAATGCTAGCTCAGGGTCTACCAACATTCTCTCCATCCCAACTGGCCGCCTCGAGGACTATTTCGTTCTGGATTCTCACGTGTTAGGGTCCGGCCAGTTCGGGACCGTTCGCCGCTGCACGGAGCGCGCCTCAGGCTCGCGCTTCGCCTGCAAGAGCCTCCTAAAGGAGGGGCTTAAGACCGAGGCAGAGCGCGACGAGATCCGAAAGGAGATTAATCTGATGCAGAGGGTTGCGGTGGGCGGCGCGCACGCAGGGGTCGTGCAGCTGCGCGCCGTTTTCGAGGACGATGTCGCAGTGCACCTCGTGATGGAACTCTGCGAAGGCGGCGAGCTGTTCGACGAAGTTGTGCGACGTGGGCGATTTCACGAGCGCGACGCCGCGAGCGTTTTCGCGCAGATCGCAGCGGCCGTCGCACACTGCCACGCCCGCGGCGTCCTCCACCGCGACCTGAAACCCGAAAACATCCTGCTTGTGCGGGACCCATCTGTACCGCTTTGCGCCGCACCCCTGATCACAAAAGTCGCAGACTTTGGCCTCGGCGTCGCGCTTGAGGCAGGCGAACGCACGAAAGGAGTCGCAGGGTCGCCGTTTTACATCGCACCTGAGGTCCTCACAGGCGATTACTCTCTAGGAGCCGATGTCTGGTCGCTCGGTGTCATTCTCTACATTCTTCTCAGCGGCGTACCGCCTTTCTGGGGCGCTACGGATAAGGACGTTTTCGTCGAAGTGCTTCGCGGCGTGGTTGATATGAGCGGTGCGGAGTGGGAGGGAGTGTCGGAAGAGGCGAAGCATCTCGTGCGGTGCCTGCTTCAGTCGGACGCTTCGAGAAGGCCGTCAGCTGCCGCTATCCTTTCCCACCCTTGGATTCTGCGCGCGTGCCGCGTCAGCAGCGCGGGTGCTCGCCAGCTGGCCCCTGTTACGAAATCAGAAGCAGCGGACACGATCATGGCGTAAAATTTCAGTCCAGTGTTCAACACTAGCTAGGGTTGGGTTGTAGAAGTGTCGGGGGCACTAGTACAGATTGTTCGCACAGGGGAATGCCAAGCCAAGCCTCCTGGAGTCAGGCGACGTCGCATGACCATTTGCGAGGGCCTCGAACAGCAAGAGGGGTGAGGAGAGGCTTGGTTTGGCATTACTTCCTAGATATCTGTACACCTAACTTTTGTGCGCCATACTTGTATGAAGTCAACTGTTCATAAGAATCATCTTCCTCAGCAGAATCACTGGTGCCACTAACCCCTTGGCAGCATATACGGAGAGGGGAAAATAAAACCTTCACAAAGGAGAAGAGCCACTGATGTATAATCTCAAGACCTATGGGATTAAAATTCATCTTTTAAAAAATTCTGGTGGGAGCAGTGTTGCTCATAAGCAGGCCTCTGGATAGGATTTGGGGTACTCTTTCTCGTAAGGCCAACACCCAGCCTTGACTCTTTCAGTAAGGGTGCTTCACAAAAACTGCTCTTAAAAATCAGGGTGCAAACAAATCTAATCATTCATCTATTATTTTTACTCTCCATAGTATGTAGGATGTTGATGTGGCAGTGTGTTGAGTAGTCACAATTATGTGGAGGCCCCGAGTTTTAAACCCAGCGCAGGCATCCTGTGCAAATAATACGTTTTACGCAACCAATCCTGGTATCCTCTCTTAGATCGAACTCGATTTCATCAGTGCTACTACACCACATAGCTCTGAAATATCAGTGTCGTATAATCGATCACTTTTTTTTTGTAAGGGTCTAAAACAAAACCAGTCTTGTAAAAAAGGGTGCATAGTCAAACCCGCCCTTATAGTAAGGGTCATAAGGGTGAATCACCCTGATATCGAGAGGCCTGCTCATAAGCAGTTGAAATGGTGGGTGGGAGTGCCTAATACTAATGCAGTGCAAAAGAAAGAATGGTGATTTTAAATATTTCTACTACCATATTTACACATCATGGAGACTCGGTTGCTGGCCCATTGGGAGGGCTCTGCCGCCTTTCAAGAATCTCCGTGTTGATGAAAGCCAGTTGTGAGAGGTTCTGAAACACATGAATGGACAAGGGGGAGAGAGGGAGAGGCCATGAAATGGGGCTGCTCTGAGAAACGTCAGCTTTCTAGGTGAGCTCAAATCCTGGAAGCTACCTGGAAGGAGAAGCCTGAGAAGAAAATACTGCATTGTCACGAAGCTGTCTGAAACGAGAAATCATGAGGTTTTGTAAAGGCTCTGGCTCGAACAAGTAGAAAAAAGCCTCTGATTTTGTGGATGCCGTCACGTACCTTGTCAAGCCCATCCTATCAATATCAACCTCTCACCGTGTCACCTCACCCCATGAGCCCATCAGCCAACCAACCTATCAGGCTATACATCCTACCCATCGTAGCCGTTCTACCTACCTACCTAACCCAGGCAGCATGCCTTGAAGGAGAAGCCTGAGAAGTCAACCATGTTGGACTGGAAAGTCATCGTGCTTATTGGCCTATCAGACTATCACTACCCAAGCTACCCATGCATGGCAGGCAGCATACTTTGAAGGAGAATCCTGAGAAGTCAAGCGTGTTGGACTGGAATGCCGGCATGTCTCCCGCCTCGTCATGCTTATCAAACTGTCAGTCTATCAGCTTATCAGCCTTCAGTCTATCAGCCTACCCATTCTACCCATGCAAGGCAGGCAACAAACGGTACCTTGAAGGAGTAGCCTGAGAATTCAACCATGTTGCACTGGAATGCCAGCTTGTTGACCCACTCATCGTGCTTATCGGCCTATCAGACTATCACTACCCATTCTACCCATGCATGGCAGGCAGCATACCTTGAAGGAGAATCCTGAGAAGTCAACCGCGTTGGACTGGAATGCCGGCATGTCACCCGCCTCATCATGCTTTATCAGCCTATCAGCGTATAGGTCTAAGCCACTGATACATCAAAGCATGGCAGGCAGCATATGGTACCTTGAAGGAGAAGCCTGAGAAGTCAACTGCGTTGGATTGGAATGCCGGCATGTCACCCGCCTCATCATGCTGATGGGGGAGGGGAGGGAGGGGCAGGAGGGGTGAGAGAGGAGAGTGGAACGGGTGGGAGGGGTGAGAGAGGAGAGTGGAACAGGTGGGAGGGGTGAGAGAGGAGAGTGGAACGGGTCGGAGGGGTGAGAAAGAAGTTGGATTGGAACGCTGGCATGTCACCTGCCTCATTGTGCTGATGGGGGAGAGACATGCCAGGGGGGAGCAGGGGGGGGTGTAAGGGATGAGAGAGGACTGAGGGGATGAAGGAGGGGAGCAGGGAGAGACGGTGGAGGGAAAGGAGGAGGGGTGTGAGAGGGGAGAGGTGGGTGGGAGAGGAGGCCAACGCACAGGAAAGGGATCGGGTCATGGGGTTTGCGTTAGCAGATGCGTTGGTGCCTTGAGTATGCCCAACCCATCCCCCCAGATGCCCCCTGATGCCCCCTTCTAGACTCAAAGGATGGTCAGATGCCCCCTTCCCTCCAGATGCCTTTGTGTTGAGCCACCTCCCCCATCCCCCACCTCACCCTTTCCATCTCCAGGTCCTCTGAATCACTCGTGCTGCCGCCACTGCTGCTGTAGTTGCTGCTGCGCGCATCTCCCCCCGCCCCTCCCACCACGCCCTCCCCTCCTTCCAGTGCGTTTGCCCCGTAGCGGCATGCAAAGTAGCTCGTGTCGTGGGCGTTCTCCGGCTCGGGAATGAAAGGGGGCTGACATGGACAGAAGGAGGGGAGGCATTGGGGTGATAGGGAGGAAAATCAGTTGCTGCTGCGGCCATCTGCCTCCCAACGCCCAACTTGTAGCGCGTTTGCCCTGTAGCGGCATGCAAAGTAGTTCGTGTCGTGTGCGTTCTCTGGCTCGGGCACAAACGGGGGCTGGCAGGAGGGAGGGAGGGCACATCGGCAAGAGAGGGACATAAATCAGCTGCTTCTGAGCCCATCCGCACCCCCCACGCCCACCACGCCCTCCTCTCCTTCCAGTGCATTTGCCCCGTAACGGCATGCAAAGTAGCTCGTGTCGTGTGCGTTCTCTGGCTCGGGAATGAAAGGGAGCGAGAGGGCGGATTCAGAAGATGGAGCATTCTATCAGATGTTGTTGCGGCAGTATAGCAGCAGCAGCAAAGGGTGCAGTGAGTTCAGGGAAAGCGAGGCTTTAGCCTAACCTTTTCAGAGGAGAGGGTGTCCCAGTCGATGCTGCTTTGGAAATTCTTAGAGGCAACTCTAGCCCAGCAGCAGCAAGAAGAGTAAAGGTCTAACCTTTTCAGAGGAGAGGGTGTCCCAGTCAATGTCGCGAAAGAAGGGATGCCTCTTGATCTGCAGCACATGCGAGAGGGGCGGGAGGAGCACACACACATCACATTTCCAGCAAAACAAAGAGCACACGCACACACACACAAAAAAAAAAAAAAAAAAAAAAGTAAGAAAGAAAGAAAAAAGGTGAATGGAGCTAAGGGTAAGTGACAGAGTGAGTGAATGGAGTGAGGAAGATGCAGCAGAGTGAGTGCATGGAGAGCAAGGGAGTGAAGAGGTAGCAAGAGGTGGCAAGGGGTGGCAAGGGGTAGCTGACCTCGTCTGCTCCCTGGGCGCCTAGACGCTCATCCGGGTCGAAAGTGAGAAGCCTGGAGAACACAGGAGAGAGCAGCAGGCAGGGAAACAACAAGGCTATCGGGATAAGTGCACTCAAGTGAGGGCTTTTCCTCCCTTTCCCTTTGTTTCTCTCCTTTCCCCCCCCACTCCCCCATCCCCCTTGCCCTTTTCCAGCCAGTCACTGGGATTAGTGTATGCATTAGAATCTGAAGTTGATTGCCACAGACAAGGCACGTACCTGTCAATGAGGCCCTTTGCCTCGTACAACATGTCTTCTAGCACAGCTGCTCTTTGCTCATAGGAGAAAGGCTGCAGTGTGCAAAGCACGACGCTCACCTGTTGCTTGCTTGCTTGCCACAGGCATTTCAATCCACTTACCTGTCAAGGTGCATACCTGTCAAGGTGCATACCTGTCAAGGTGCATACCTGTCAAGGTGCACACCTGTCAAGGTGCATACCTGTCAAGGTGCATACCTGTCAAGGTGCATACCTGTCAAGGTGCATACCTGTCAAGGTGCATACCTGTCAAGGCGCATACCTGTCAAGGCGGGTACCTGTCTATAAGGTCTTTCGCCTCGTATGACATGTCTCCTGGCACAGCCGGCCATGTGATGTCGCGGTTCAATATGTTGTCAAAGATTTGCTTATAAAGGGGATAAGCATGGGGGAAGAGCAGGGGATAAGCAGGGATGGCAATGGGAGGAGGTGGAAGAGGGACAGTTTGTTGTCACGGATTCACTTTTAAGGGGGATACAGGAGGAACCAGCTGGATATGGGAGGAACGGAAAGTCAGTGTGCACAAAACAAGGCAGTTGTGTGGGGGGGTGCACAAAACAAGGAGAACGGAGACGTGTCAAAACGCAATAAGTGTATGTGCACACGAGGTAGGGGTGGGGTGAGGGGGGTGGAAGGAGGGGGTTGTTGGGAGGGTTGTGCAAGAGAATTGCAAGCGTATCATATCAACAAAGGAGAGAAAGAGAGAGAGGTACCTGAGGAGAGGGGGCGTTGAAGGGCGGAATTCCCACCAGCAGCTCACACAGCAGCACTCCCACTGACCACCAGTCCGCTGCTGGGCCTGGGAACGCATAGAGATGAATACAGAGAGAGGCGAAACCAAGAGCGAGTGGAATGGGATGGAATCGAGTGGTAAGAGCTCGACACCAGACAGGGGAATCCCCACCAGCAGCTCGTATAGCAGCACTCCCACTGACCATCAGTCGACTGCAGGGCCTGAGAGGGCGCGCAGGCGGGAAAGCAGGGAGCGAGCAGAGAAGAATGCGGTCTCAAAAGTCACACGGAAGAATGCGGAGAGATAAATACAGAGAGGGGCCACCAAGGGGTACGCAGCACGGACAGACGCAAGTGGAACAGCGATCGATCTCCTCCAAACAAGGCAGGATCCCCACCAGCAGCTCGTACAGCAGCACTCCCACTGACCACTGGTCCGCTGCCGGGCCTGGGGGGTTGAACGGGGGGGGCGGGGGGGAAGCGAGAGGGGGATAGAGACAAGACGGCATGCCACTCATGCACTGACGCCACAAACCACATACGCACCGTGTGGAAGACCGAGCAGAATCTAGGTGACTTTTGAGTCGACTCAAAAGTCACCACATGCGCACCGTGTGGAAGGCCGAGCAGAATCTAGGTGACTTTTGAGTCGACTCAAAAGTCACCACATGCGCACCGTGTGGAAGGCCGAGCAGAATCTAGGTGACTTTTGAGTCGACTCAAAAGTCACCACATGCGCACCGTGTGGAAGGCCGAGCAGAATCTAGGTGACTTTTGAGTCGACTCAAAAGTCACCACATGCGCACCGTGTGGAAGGCCGAGCAGAATCTAGGTGACTTTTGAGTCGACTCAAAAGTCACCACATGAGCACCGTGTGGAAGACCGAGCAGAATCTAGGTGACTTTTGAATCGACTCAAAAGTCACCACATGCGCACCGTGTGGAAGGCCGAGCAGAATCTAGGTGACTTTTGAGTCGACTCAAAAGTCACCACATGCGCACCGTGTGGAAGGCCGAGCAGAATCTAGGTGACTTTTGAGTCGACTCAAAAGTCACCACATGCGCACCGTGTGGAAGGCCGAGCAGAATCTAGGTGACTTTTGAGTCGACTCAAAAGTCACCACATGCGCACCGTGTGGAAGGCCGAGCAGAATCTAGGTGACTTTTGAGTCGACTCAAAAGTCACCACATGCGCACCGTGTGGAAGGCCGAGCAGAATCTCTGGAGCCAAGTAGTCAGGCGTTCCCACTGCCTCCACTGCCACTCTCCCTCCTCCCTCTGCTGCTGCTCCCCTGCTCTCTCCTACCCCAGAACCACCTGTCGCGGCACCAGCAGCAGCTGTAGCAGCAGTTGCACCTGTGGCATTTGACATGGCAGCAGCAGGAGCAGCACAGGTGGATTCACTGGTAGCCTTCTCTTCCTCATCGCCCTCCCTCCCATACACAACCACTCCATTCTCCTCCCCACAAACCTTGCTTGCCTCTTGGTTTTCCGTGCACTCTCCCCCTCCCTTATGCTCCTCACTCTCAACGTTGCCACTGCCATTGCCATTGCCATTGCCGTTGCCACTGCCTGTGTTACCGCCCCCCCCCATTCCCCTCGCTCGCCCCTGCCAGGCGTCTCAGCAGGGAGGCGTGCTGAGCCTGCTGCTGCCACCGCTGTGTGATGATCTGAGACGGAGACGAGCAGTGCATCCCCCCTCCTCCTCCCCCTCCGCCTCCGCCTCCCCCTACCCCCCCTCCTCCTCCCGCTCCCCATCCGCCTCCCCCCCCACCCCCTCCCCCTGCAAAATGCGAGGGCGAGGAACAAAACGACCCCCCTCCCCCTCCTCCTCCACCCCCTCCCCCACCCCCCAACCCGGAAGGATGCAGAGGGGAAGAGCAGGCAGAAGCATGCAGGGGGGAGGCATATCCGGGTGCATGCATGGGAGAGGAGTATCCAGAGGCAGGGTTGGAGTGTTGACCAGAGAGAGTGGAGGGAGGGCCGGAGCGGGGCGAGGGGAATTCCTGCAGGCTGGATGCGGTCCAGAGTGGTGAGTCTGCTGCTGCTCCTTCAGAACTGACGCTGAATGAATGCGGGAAAAGCTTGCCTGTGCGTGGGGAGCGGGGGAAGGGGGGGAAGAGAGAGTGGAGAAGGGAAAGGGGGGAAGAGAGAGTGGAGAAGGGAAGGGGGGGAAGAGAGAGTGGAGAAGGGAAGGGGGGGAAGAGAGAGTGGAGAAGGGAAGGGGGGGAAGAGAGAGTGGAGAAGGGAAGGGGGGGAAGAGAGAGTGGAGAAGGGAAGGGGGGGGAATAGAGAGTGGAGAAGGGAAGGGGGGGAAGAGAGAGTGGAGAAGGGAAGGGGGGGAAGAGAGAGTGGAGAAGGGAAGGGGGGGAAGAGAGAGTGGAGAAGGGAAGGGGGGGAAGAGAGAGTGGAGAAGGGAAGGGGGGGAAGAGAGAGTGGAGAAGGGAAGGGGGGGAAGAGAGAGTGGAGAAGGGAAGGGGGGGAAGAGAGAGTGGAGAAGGGAAGGGGGGGAAGAGAGAGTGGAGATGAAAGTCTCAGTAAGTGGGGCAAGAGAGGCAAGTCGGGAGCTGCTCCTTCGGAGCTGACGCTGAATGAATGCGGTTGAAGCTTGCCTGAGCGAGGGAAGGCGGGATGGGAGCAAGGGGGGATGGGAGCAAGGGGGGATGGGAAGGGGACCGGGAGGAGCGGAGGAGATGAATCAGTGGGCAGAAGGCGTGAGTATGTGCCTGCTCCTTCCAAATTCAGGCTGTAAAGTGGGGGATGTGGGAGTGCTTACCAAGGGAGGTGGTTACCAGGGAGGTGTTTCATCAGCGCAGGTGCTTATCAGGGGAGGTGCTTACTGAAGGAGGTGTTTCATCATTGGAGGTGCTTACTGAAGGAGGTGTTTCATCAGCGGAGGTGCTTACCAGGGGAGGTGCTTACTGAAGGAGGTGTTTCATCATTGGAGGTGCTTACCAGGGGAGGAAGGCGCGGAGGCGTGGTGGGAGGGGATGGGCTGCTGCTGATTGGTGGAGAGGTCCCCGGCACTGTTGATCAGGCCCACCCTTGACAGCCCGAAGTCCGTCAGCTGAGGGTTTGGTGAGGGGTGGTGACGGGTGAAGAGGAGTGATGAGTGGTGACGGGAGGTGATGGGCACACTAAGGGCACTGTCGATGAGCCCCAACCTGGACAGACCAAAGTCCGTCAGCTGTAGGGTAGTGTGGGTGGGTGGTAAGGGGTGGTGAGGGGTGGTGAGGAGGGGTGATGGGATTGGTGGAGCAAGGCATGACAAGCGAGCCACACCAAACAAAACTGAACCTGGCAATCCTAGGAAGCACAATGAAACGATTCATACATGAGCATCTCATCTTGATGTGCCCATCGTGTGCGATAGGCAAGTTGTCTTGTCTTGTCCGGCAGTCGCCTTGTGAGACCCACCCACCCACCGGCCTTCACAGTACAGTGAAACGACAGCATGAGCATCCTACCCACCTCACCCATCTCACCTTGATATGCCCATCATGTGCTATGAGCAGGTTGTCCGGCTTGATGTCCCGATGCACCACCCCCAGCCCACGGAGTGAAGCCATTAGAGGCTCCTCAAAAGCCATGAAGCAACAGAATGAGCATCCCACCCACCTCACTCATCTCACCTTGATATGCCCGTCGTGTGCTATGAGCAGGTTGTCCGGCTTGATGTCCCGATGCACCACCCCCAAGGAGTGCAGATACTCCAGCGCTTGCACCTGGTTGCAGTTGGAGTGGAGAGGGGTTGGATGGGGTGGAGATGGGGGCGGAGGGTTGGAAGGGAATACACCACCCCCAGTGCATCACCCACAGGGAGTGCAGATACTCCAACCCAATGCTTGCATCTGGGGGGGGTAAGAGGGAGGGGGGTTGGTATGGGAGACAAATAGGGGTCACGGGGGAGACGACATTGCCAGTCAACGCCAGCCAAGGGCAGTAACGTCAGTCAATGGTAGTGAACGCCAGTCAACGCCAGTCAACCCCAGTGAGCACGCACCAGCTCGGCGGTGTAGAAGCAAGCAGTGGACTCCTCTAGCGCCTCGCAGGCGTGCAGCAGCGAGAAGAGGTCGCCCCCATCCAGACACTCCATCACCATGTACAGGTTCTCTCAACCCAATATGTGACGAAGTAGACCCAGTCAACGCCAGTCAACCCTAGTCAACCCACCAGCTCAGCAGTGTAGAAGCAGGCGGTGGATTCTTCGAGTGCCTCGCAGGCGCGCAGCAGGGAGAAGAGGTCGCCGCCATCGAGATACTCCATCACCATGTAGAGGTTCTCCCGACACGTGAACGAGTAGAAGCAGCGCACCACAAACGGGCTCCTGGCGGAAGCGAGGATGTTGCGCTCCGCCTGCACGCTCTCCACTGCGTTCTTCCGAATCATGTCCGCTTTCCGGAGCACCTGTAGGAGGGATAAGGGAGAGAAGGGGGAGAGAAAGTGCGTGGAGTAGAAGCAGCACACCACAAACGGGCTCCTGGCGGAAGCAAGGATGTTGCGCTCCGCCTGCACGCTCTCCACTGCGTTCTTTCGGATCATGTCCGCCTTGCGCAGTACCTGGGGCAGGGGGGGGGAGGCGGGGAGGTGGGAGGGGGAGGGGGAACGGGCACGTGTACAAGTGAGTGCCACACACACACACACACACACACTCTCTCTCACACACACACACACTCACACACACACTCTCTCTCTCTCTCACACACACACACAGACACACACACACAAAAAGGCCTCGTCCTCTCGCCCTCCTTCCCTCCTGCTACCTACCTTGATAGCAAACAGGTCTCCTGTCGTCCGCTTCTGAGCCAGGAACACCCTCCCATACGCGCCCTTGCTGATAGGCTTGATGATCTCAAAGTCATCAATTGTTGTGCGCTGCTCCTTCTCTCCCATTCCCCCTCCGCCTCCGCCACCCCCTCCCCTGCTCCCCCCACCGCCAATGCTCCCCAGTGAGTGGGGGAGAGCGAACGCCCCCCCTGTGGCGCTGGGGTTGCTGGTGGGGGAAGCTGCTGCTGCTTTGGACCCGCTTTGATAGGACCTAAGCTGCAACATGCGTTGGTACTTCTCTCTGGAGGAAAGAGGGAGAGAAACAGGAGGGAGGAGACGAGGAGGGAGGGGGGAGAGGGGGTCGCAAATTCGTACGTATATACCCCCAAATCTGATGGTCATCCCATCCTTACTGCAGCAGGATGGCGATGCGCAACCCCACGATCTGCACGCAGGGGAAGGCTGGAAGCCAAAGAGCAGTGTGTGTCTGATCACACGTACACTCTCTCTCACTCAAAACACCAACACCAAGCAGTTACCATCTCATCCTTACTGCAACAAGATCGCAATTCGCAGCCCGAAGATCTGCACGCAGGGGAAGCACGCCGCGTGCAAGCGCAGGAGGGTGGAGAGGTCGTGGATGTCGGTGGAGAGCAGCGCACAGACGCACAACCACACACTATCCAACACTCTGTCACACTGTGTGCCATGTCACACTGTGTGCCGTGTCACACATACACTCCCTGACTCCAGACACCAAACACCATGAAGAGACAATGCGCTCTAAGCCATGCTTACTGCAACAAGATGGCGATGCGCAGCCCGAAGATCTGCACGCAAGGAAAGCGCGCAGCATGCGAGCGCAGGAGGGCGGAGAGGTCGTGGATGTCGGTGGAGAGCAGCGCGAGCGCGTCCGCCTGCCCCACCTGCACCTCCCCCACGTCCTCCGCTATGTCTGCTAGGTCGTTCAGCTGGGGGAGGGGAGAAGGGGGGGGAGGTGGGGGAGATGGTGGGGACGAGGTGGGGGGGAAGTGGGGGAAAGTGGGGGCGAGAAGGGGGAACGAGATAGGGTGAGCACGGGGAAGAGGAAGAGTGAAGGGAGGGTGTGAGAGGCAGCAGCGTGTCATCAGTGTAGGAGCGCAGGAGGGCGGAGAGGTCGTGGATGTCGGTGGAGAGCAGCGCGAGGGCGTCCGCCTGCCCCACCTGCACCTCCCCCACGTCCTCCGCTATGTCTGCCAGATCGTTCAGCTGGGGGAGCAAAGAGAAGGTGGGAGAAGGAACGCAAGGGGTGGCATAGCTGAAATAACATCTGCCTGCCCCACTGCACCTCCCCCACATCCTCTGCTATGTCCGCCAGATCGTTCAGCTGTAGCGTGGGGGGGAAGGGGCGAGGGTGGGAGGTGTGGGGAGGTGCAGAGGAAGTAGGGGAGGGAGGTAGGGTACGCACATAATAAGCACTGAAGAGAGAGAAAGCGAAAAGCAACAAGCATGGCAGCAGAGCGAATCCGTCTGCCCCAACTGCACCTCCCCCACATCCTCCACTGGGTCCGTCAGTTCGTTCAGCTGGAGCGAGGGGGGGTGCGGGGAGGGGAAAAGTATAAGGCGGACGTAAGAAGCACAAGGAGGAGTTGATCTAACGGATTTCTCGCAAGCACCACCCCTGCCTTTCTCGCACCCAACTCACCACATTGATCTCCACGTTAATCTCCTCCACAGCCGCACCTGCTCCGCTCCCAGCAGCTTTATGTCGCCTCCCAAGGTGACTCATGAGCGAACTCAAAGGTCAACAAAAAAGTCAACACAGAAGTTGACTCAAATAAACACCCAACTCACCACGTTGATTTCTTCATCAATCTCCTCCACAGCCGCACCTGCTCCCAACAGCTCCATGTCGCCCCCCACACTGCCCCCTCTCCTTGTCAAAGACTCCCCCCCGGGCAAGCTGCTGCTCTGCCTCCCGCCCGTGCTGCTCATGCTGCCCCATGGGCGTTGACTGGCGTTGACTGACGTTGACTGGCCTCTTGGGAGACTCTTAGACTGCACATGGTGTGATTGTAAGCCGTGTGCTTGTAGAGTTTGACTGTGAGAAGCTGAAGCAGGCAGTGACCTTGCAGTGGCCAGGACTGCTGCTGTTGCCGCTGTCTCTGCTGCTGCTTTTGCCTCTGTTGCTGCTGCTTCTGATACTCCTGTTGCTGTTGCTGCTGCTGCAACCGCTCCTTGCGCTGCTACTGCCGCTGCTGCTGCACAATCTGACACCCGGGCAGAATCAGCTGAGTCAGTTGAAGAGGAGCAGGCATTTGGAATACCCGTGCGTTCGGCCTGGGAAAGCACAGGAAGGGAGTTGGAGAGAGCATGTTGCTTGGCAGCAGGGGAGAGGCTGGGAAAGGACGCACTGGCAAGACCACCCAGTCGCTTGGCAGCAGAGGAGAGGCTGGGGGACGAGGGGTTGGATAGCCCTGTTCGCTTGGCGGCAGGGGAGAGGAGCGGGGAGGAGGAGTTGGACAGGGCGGTTCGTGTGGCGGGGGAGAGGGTGGGGGAGGAGGAGGCGGAGAGGGAGAGGCCAGCGCGTTTCATGAGGGGCACGAGGTCCAGCTTCCATGGGCTGCCGTGTGCCTGGGAGGTGCGCACTGACAGGGGCGACCGCTGCTGCTGCTGCTGCTGCTGCGGATGGTGATGTGGTGGTTGTCTCTGCAATTGATCAACATGTGGTGGCGATGCTGATGGTGGCGGCAGTAATGATGGATGGGTGGCTGCTGCTTGCTGCTGCTTTGCCTGCTCTGACATCAGCTGCTGCTGCTCCTGCTGCTGCGCAGAATGCGAGCTTTCCTCGGCGAAACACTGCTGTTCCTCTGATGCCTTCTGGACTAAGTGATGCCGCTGTTTCTTCTCCTCTGAAAGCTCCTGCTCCTTCGATCCCTTCCCCAGCTGCTCCTGTCTCTCAGGCCCCTCTTGCAATGCATTCTCTGGCTGCTCCTCTAACAACTCATGGGAACCAAGGGATCTCTGATGCGTCTCAACACTCAGCTTGATAGACCCAGGTGCCTTCTCATCCTTCTCTGTGTTCTCCTCTTTCTCTCTGTGCTCCACTTGAGCAGCAAAGTCCCAGTCGCTTTGAGCTGGCTTCATGCCATGGGGGGTGGACTCCAAAGCAGCACCACCTCCATCACCAGTAGCAGCAGCATCACCACCATCACCACCAGCAGTAATAGCAGGAGCAGCAAGAGGAGCATTAGCAGCAGCAGCTGCAGCAGCAGCAGAGACATTAGCAGCGGCAGCAGCAGCATCAGATGCAAAAGCCGCCTCAAGCCGCACAGACAGCTCTGCCACCACCGCATCCAACCCCACCCCAAGCCTATGTAACCGCTCATCCAGCGGTAACCGCGTGTCGTCGCACCGGTTGGCCAGGGCACAGAGGCACGAGTGCTCCTGCAGGTCCCGCAGTGGAACCTCCTCCTCGCATATCCGGCACATCACCACTGCTTCCTCCTCCTCCGAATTCTCCTTTGCTGATGCGCCTCTGCTCACCCTTCCCCTCTCTACCCCCGTGCCCGCCCCGCCCCCTGCCCTTGCTCCTGCCATCGCCCCCGCCCCCGCCCCTGCACCCGCCCCGGCCCCTGTCCCTGCCGCAGCCCCTGCTCCCGCTCCCATCCCTGCCCCTTCCCCTGCCTCTCCATGTGCTCCTATGCCTTCCCCCATCGCAGATCCTGACGCTATTTCCGTGCCTCCTGCATCTGCTCGCATCCCTAGTAGGTTTTCCCCTTCTCCCCCATACATGTCATCTGTCTCTTGCCGGCCCTTCAACTCCTCTACTATGGCTTTCCAATCCTCCTGCCGCCCGACACTGTCCTGCCGCCCGACACTGTCCTGCCGCCCAATGCTATCCTGCCGCCCAACACTATTCTGACGCAGGATGCTATCCTGCCGCCCAGCACTATCACACCGCCCCCAGAAGCCGTACCTGTACGGTAGCAGCTTACCCGAGCTGGTCCTCTCAAGCTTAAGCCTCTCCTTTACTATCTCCAATAACACACTCTCATTCACGCCTGCACTCGCCGCTCCTGCTGCTCCTGCTGCTCCTGCTGCTCCTCGCGATCCCACTACTCCACCCGCCCCCACTGCTCCTGCCGCCTGCTGCTGTCGCGGGGGTGGCGGCTGTTGCAGCTGCTGCTGCTGCTGCTGCTGCTTCTCCCACTCGCTGGATCTATTCGCCGTGTCTGCATACTTTTCAACGGCCTCAGCCGCCTCTTCTTCAACCATCATCCCCTCCACCTCCACCTCCCCTTTCCCCTTCCCCTTCCCCTCCCCCTCCTCGTGGACTCCCACCACCCCCTTCCCCTCGTCTGCAACCGCCGCTTGCAACAGTGCCTCTCTCCCAGTCTCACCACCCATCGCCTCTTGCTCCACCTGCTCTTGCTCCACCTGCACTTCTTTCACCGGCCCTTGCTCCACCTGTCCTTCCTTCACCTGCCCTTCCTGCTCCTCCCTCAGCTCTCCTATCCTCCATTTCCCTTCCCCCACTGCTGCCAGTTCACCAGCAGCACCGTCCCAGGTGCTGCCAAGCCCACCACCACTGCTTGGTACAGCAGCATCCGAGTGGCTTGACAGAACAGCAGCAAAGGGAGCATGACCAAGGGGAAGCAGAGCATGAAACGGGGTGGTAAGGTCACAGCCTCGACTCATCCGAACCATCGGCAGGTGAAGGATCTCCTCCGGAGGACATGAAAGGGAACCACCCTCAGGCGCTCCCTCAGGTGAAACCTCAGGTGCCACTTCAAGTGCCACTTCAGGTGTCTTGCCAGGTGCCACCTCAGGTGGTTTTCCAACAGAGCCATCATGCCCCATCACCACAGCTCCTCTTTCCAAAGACGCATCCTCTCGCACGTCTCCTGCTCCTACCACCCCAATCACACCTTTCCCTTCCACCAATGAATCCCCTACTCTTTCCCCTCTGCTCGCTATTGCACCCTCTCTCTCTGCCTCTGTCAACGTCCCCACTCCGCTCTCTCGTACCACCTCTCTTGAACCTAATCCTAACCCTGACTTGCCATGCACGCCTTGCCGCACTGCACCCCTCTCCTGCTCACTCTCGTGGTCCCCTTCACCCCGATCCCCCACCACCACCATCTCATGCCAGCCCTCCCACGCTCCCCTACTGCTGCTGCTGCTGCCGCTGCCCTTTTCCCGCCTGCCCTCCTGTCTTGTTTCCTGCGCCCCTACGGCTGCCGATGCCACTGCTGTCGCCACTGCTGCCACTGCTGCTGTCGCTGCTGCTGCTCCTTCAGATGCTACGTCTGCTTTTGCTTCTGCTGGTGCACCCACAGAGGCAGCAATAGCAGCAGAAGCAACTGCAGCAGCAGCCACAGAAACATCATTCACACTCGCGTACCCTCTCGCCTGCCACCCTTTCTCCTCCACCCTCTCTTCCACCACACCATCAGTCACATCCTTGCCCTCTGCTCTTCCCTCCATTCCACCCTCTTCAAGCCCCCCATCCATGAGCGAACCTTTCAGCTCTACACTCTCTTGCACATCTTTCACGCTCTGAGGAGAATTTGGAGGTCGCGAGGCGACCACACTACCCCCCACAGCCTTCCCCTGAGGAGAGATACTTGACTCACCGTGAACTAGCGCTGCTACAGCACCTGTCGGCAGAACAGTCGGCACGCCATCAAGGCCGCCCACACCCCCCTGGGCGAGTCCCAGGGTGCCGGGAGAGCAGGAGAACCGCTGAGCCTGCTGCTCCACAGCCAGTAGCACCTCCCCCAGTCGCCCACTCAGTGACGCTGTCAGCCTCCTCGGACCCGGGCTCACCTCCCCTGCTGCCGCCCCTCCCCATGCTCCTCCTGTTCCTGCTGCTGCTACTACTGAGGCTCCTGTCCCTCCCCATGTGGACACACGGCCGCTGCCCCGCTTCCAGCTGCCAGCGCGGATCAGAGGGGGCGTGCGGGCCCTGTCAGGGCCAGCAGTGGCAGGGGCAGGGGCAGCAGCAGGCGTGGCAGCAATCGTGGCAGTACGTGTAACAGCAACAGGAGTAACAGCAGCAGCAGCAGCAGCAGCAGCAGCAGCAGCAGCACCGGCAACAGCAGGAGGAGTAGCAGCAGGCACGGCAGCAAAACCCGGCATTATAGACCCTGCGACTTCCGCCTCTTCCCGTTTCTGCTGGTCCCACTGCTCCTCCCTCTCCCCCTCCCACTCCCCTTCCCGCTGCTGCTCCTTCCCCTTCCTCTGCAGCAGCAGCAGGTCCCATGCAGCAAGGTCTGCAGCAATACCCGCACCACCACTCAGGATATTGGCAGACAAAGCAGCTCTAGCACTGGCACCTTCCTGGAAGGATCCTCCCCAGTGCTGTAACCTCCTGCCAGATGGTGGCAGTTTCTCGCTGCTTCGACTGCGCTCCACCTGCACATGCTGGTTCACCTGAACCTGCTGATTCACCTGAGACATCTCCTGGAAGCTTCGAGTGGAATCGAGCCACGATTCGCTCGTTACACCTGGTGGTGAAAGCCTGTCAGTCAGCCCCTGAGCTGACCCAGTCAACCCCTGAGCTGACCCAGTCAACCCAGAGGTCAACAGGTCAACAATCCCAATCCCAAGGGGCTGTTCACCCAACCCAGCTGGCACCGCGCCAGCTGGCGACACGTCAGCTGGCGACAGCCTGTCGTCGCTACTACGCATCGCCTCCTGTGCTCCCACTTGCCCCCTGCCACTCCCATCAGGCGGTCGAGGGGGGCGCAGCAGGGGCAGAGCGGAGAGGGAGGGGAGTGAGGAGAGCGTGGGCAGTGAGGAGAGGGAGGGTAGTGAGAGTGAGAGCACGTGGTCAAGCCTCCCTTGAGACCTGCTGCTGGTGCTGCTGCTGCCGTCTGTGTGCGTTGGGGTTCTCCTCCCTGATTGGCCCACAGCTCCTGCTGATGCTGCAAGCTCAGCTGCACCTGCTCCTGCTCCTGCTCCTGCTCCGGCTGTTTTTGCTGTTGCTGCAATGGCTGCTGCCAGTGCTGCTGCGGCTCGATCAACCACGTCAGCATCACCATCAGAAGCGTCAATAGCTGCACCAGTACCAGCAGCAACAGAAGCAGCAGCACCAGTCGCACCAGCAGCAGCAGAAGCGGCACCAGCAGCAGCGGCAGCAGCTAGAGCTACTCGTCTGTGCTCAGGACTGTGGAAACTGGACCGCGAGCGGACGGAACGTAACGAGGGTCTCGGTTGCTGCTGCTCCTGCTGCTGCTCTCCCTCTTGGCCCTTGCTAACAATGCTAACTTTCCCCTCCTCTGCTACTTCTCCTCCTCTCCCGGCTGCTGCCTCATTCAATTCCCCATCCTTCTGCAGTTGATGTTGCTCCTCATATCTATCACTCCACCCTCCTAACTCCGGCAAACCACTCCAAACGGCACTGCTCCTCTTACTCCCACTCTGCCTGCTCTCATCCTCGTTATTACCACTCCGATGCAGGTTTAAAGCCTCCTCCCACCGTGAGTCGCTTCCAAACACCACTCGCCTAGGCCTCACCTTTTCCAAGACCACTGGGATTTGCCCGTCGGATAGTCTGGTAACCAGGGGTGCGTCTGGTTGCTTGGTAACCACATGTAACTCTGCCCTCCTGCTCCTTGCACCAGGTGTTACAGGTGTTACCAGTCTGGCAGTTACCACATCCCCTGTTCGCCTTGCCCCAACAGTGCTGACATCAGCAGTGCCACCCGGGTCACTACTAACTCCCATCCCTCCTCCTTCTCCTCCTCCTCCCTCTCCTCCTCTTTCTTCTTCTTCTCTAACCCCTCCTTTCCCCGTGCTGTTAGCCCTTATCTCTCCACCATCCCCCCCATCACTGTGCCTGCCGCCCACACCGCCTCCTTCCTTCTGGAACTGTAGCAATCTCGTGCAACGGGTCAGGACAAAAAGCAGCTTCATGATGAGCTGGCGCAGCGGGCTTCCGGGCGGCATGGCTTGTCTGGCAGCGTTCAGCTCCTGCACAATGGACTCACTCTGCCGCCCAAAATCGTCTGCTGACATGGCAAGACAGCGCTCTGCTACGGATTTTAGCTGACGCACGCCCGCCGCCCATTCTGTGCTGCTGATGCTGCCTGTGTTTGGGGTAACGGCGCTGGTGCTAGTGCTGGCGCTAGTGCTGGTGGTAATGGGTGTAACTGCAGCAGCACCAGCTGCCGCCACCGCCGCAGCAGCAGCAGCAGCAGCAGCAGCAGAGGGAGGCAGTGGCGTCACTGCTTCTGGTGTCTTGAAAGAACGGCCCCCACCCCTGATACTGCTCCCTGCACTGCTGCTACTACCTCCAACACCACTGCTGCTGCTGCTACTGCCTACAGTTCTCCCGCTGCCGCTAATATCAGAATTGCCACCAGTACTACTAGCCCCACTACCAGCACCAGCACCATCAACAGCGGCTTTACCACCAGCACCAGCACTACCAACACCAACACCACCGGCACTGGCAGCAGCAGCAGCAGGAGTGACAGCAGTAGCAGCAGAGACACCAGCAGCAACAGAACTGGTTTCTCCCAGGCCAAACGACACAAGGCGGGGGCCCCTACCAATGCTGGGCACAGGCGTGACAGGGGTACAGGGGGAGTCCGAGGGACACATAGGCGAGGGGAGGGGGGACTGGGCGGAGGACTGGGGGGGAAAGGGCGAGGGGGGCGAGTGAGCGGGGAGGAGGAGGAGAGGCGAGTGTGAGGGGAGGAGGGCGAGGGGGGAGAGCGGGTGGAATATGTCGAGGCAGAAGCAGCGAAGCTCTGCGTCCATTTTGTCTTTTGCTGACTCGAGTTTTGTTCGCAGCGCGCCCAGCACAGGCTGCTTGTAACAAGGTTGGAACAGTGTGAAGACAGAGGACGGGGGGAAAAGGGGAGCCACGGGAAACGGGAGTCAAGAGTGCATGTGTTGCAGATCAAGGCCCATCTGAAGATGAATGCACGCACAATCGAGTCAACTCTAGTCAAGTCAACTCAAGTCAACGCACCTTGGAGTCAAAGTGAACATGGCGCAGGTCGTGCTTGAGGCGGGACGCAGAGATGGTGAGGATGAGTGCACGCACATATGAGTCAAGTCAAGTCTAGTCAAGTCAACGCACCTTGGAGTCAAAGTGAACATGGCGCAGGTCGTGCTTGAGGCGGGACGAGGGTGTAGAGATGGTGAGGTCGTTGCCTCGCACCGGCACCGCCCGGCTGCGGTTGCCCGTCGTGCGATTCATGCTCTTCAGTCGCGCTCCCTCTGCGCTTGCGAGTAAGGGAGCCTACAGAGGAGAGGGAGACCGGGACGGAGGAAGGGGGAGAGGTGAACAGAGGGCGCAGAGATGGTGAGGTCGTTGCCTCGCACCGGCACTGCACGGCTGCGGTTGCCCGTCGTGTGATTCATGCTCTTCAGCCGTGCACCCTCGGCGCTCGCGAGTAAGGGAGCCTTGAGAGGAGAGGGAGACGAGGACGGGGGGACAGAGGGAGGAGGATGCAGAGATGGTGAGGTCGTTGCCTCGCACCGGCACTGTGCGGCTGTGGCCGCCCGTTGTGCAACTCATGCTCTTCAGTCGTGCACCCTCTGCGCTTGCTAGGAAGGGAGCCTAGAGAGGAGAGGGAGACTGGGAAGGGGGAAGGGAGAGAGGTGAACAACAGGAGCAGAGATGGTGAGGTCGTTGCCTCGCACCGGCACTGCACGGCTGCGGTTGCCCGTCATGCGATTCATGCTCTTCAGCCTCGCTCCCTCGGCGCTCGCGAGTAAGGGAGCCTAGAGAGGAGAGGCAGACAAGGAGAGAGGTGAACAGAGGGTGCAGAGATGGATGGTAGTGATTCCAGGAGAGGAAGCCAGGGTCGGGGCAAGGAAAGTGCTGAAGAAACGGAGACTCAAGAGGAGAAAGAGGCAGCGATTCCCAGTTTTGGAATGCTGCTGCTCCTCACAGGCTAAAACCGTTGCTCTCCAACGGCGTATGCCACTCTCCACCGGCTAATGCCGCTGTCAACCGGCTAATGACGCTCTCCCCGTTCTTACCAACCCACGCTTCTATTGAGGCCCTCTTTTAGGGTTTTCTTTTCCCGTCGCCCCTTACCTGGCTAGCTCCCGTCACATGCATGGGCGACGGAGTCTTAGAAAGGTCCATAGACACCCTGCGATGTCGCACAGCGGCGAAATTCGCTGACGGTAGCGACGATGCGGCCACGGGTGGCGAAACGACCGGCGCGGCGCTGCTGGGGCCGGATGGCGGCCGGCAAGCCGTCGGCGACGGGCCGCCAGGCAAGGGTTCCGGTAGAGGGTCCCGGCCGGCAGAGTCGTCTGCCGGCGGGAGCAAAAAATGAACGGTTTCCCGTGACCGAGGCATCACTGTCAATTAATCGCTAAACAAATATTAAGTCTGAAATGCAAGCGTGTTCATGGTAAGAATTTCCTGGCTTTTGCTAGCGTACAGTCATTCTTATCGAACGACAATACACAAACGAGAAGGATCCCTAGCTCTGTCGCTCGAAGATGTTAAAAAGGCTTGCGTGACGCCGATGTCCTACGACGAGTAGATGATGGGGGACGTGTGACAGAGCTAGCTGGCTATGCTTCGAACGTCGTCAACGTCAACCTAGGACGGAAGAGACGGGACTTGGGACGAGACTCGACAGGACGGAACGGAGCTCGTTCACGGGACTCGGTCGGGACGGGAGGACAGGCATCGATGTGCACGGGTGGGGAAAGAGGGGAGTAAAGAGGGGAGGAGGGGGGTGCCTGACTCCGAAGCGCGTCCGCTGGTTTGTGTGGTGTAGTCTACGCGGAGGACGGGGGGAGTGGATGAAGGGAGAGGGGAGATAAGATCGAAATTGGCTAGGCTACTGCTCCACGGGCCGAGCGTGCGTGAGCTATCACATGCTCGGCAAAATCAGTGGACCGGAATGCCGTGGCGTGACTGGCATGGGTCTGTCATGGCCGCGGGGTTTCCAATCCCAAGAAGCGAAACCGCGAGGCGGGAAAAACGCACAGTGGTGCTCGGCAGAATCCATGGATGCTGATGGTGTCGCCTGATGATGATGGATGCATTGACCGTTAGACCAAAAGGGGGTCCTACATACGTACAGTCAACTGTACGGGCTTCTGGAATGTACAAACTAGCTGCAGATGAAATGAAAGGTCATTCACGGTCATAGAGTTGCTTTACAGAGCATTTTCAGCTGACGGACCAACCGCAACAGGTCGCCAGCACTGTATTTGAGCAGTGAGGGTAGAAGAATCGTACAGTACATCGGCGACCTTTGACCAATGTTGTACTGTACTGTAACGAGTTGCATGATTCACTGTTTGTTCAAATAAAGGACCTTACACAATCTACAGTACTAATCTAATGCATGTACCCTTGCCCACATAGGTCAACCTGTGATGAGGAATAAATTTATTCAAGAGAATCAACACTTTGACAATAACGGATCATAAATAATGGCCTGTTCTTTCAATGGCTATTCCGTCAACCAAACATTCTCTGTGCCTTTGGGAAAATAACAATAATCGAATCATAAATCCATTTGCCCTTGACTTAGCCAGTTTTCGGGCTGGCTATGGCCTAGCAATCAGAGGTGTTTAGAACGTATCATTTTTGGGCCAAATTCTTACGGTATAGCATCCATGTATAGCTGCTGCATTATTGCTGCCATATCACCCGTGGATGACTCCCGATAAAGGCTTGTTCGGCGGATGATGTGTTCTTCCGGGCATCATTTGCACCTGCGACTCAACCAGGCACCTGCGTTCAGATCATGACATCAGCTTCCCTACTTGATTCCCCTCTCAAAACGAACTTGCTGGTCAGGTGATTGACGAAATTCATTTTCGCAATCGCACCATCATCTGCTCCTAGCGAGGCCTGCGGTGCGTGGAGCGGAACCAGCAACTAAGTTGTTCCTACCTAGCGAAAAGTCTTGATTTCGCCGATAACAAACCCCGCTACGCCTGACGCCCTATTGCTGCCTCCTGCTACTTGTGTTAGAGCACTCAACACCCCCCTTTTTGCAGCACCACTCCCACAATTTCCTAGCAGCCTCTTCTCATTTCCTGCTCACCATCAGCCGTTTCCCTCGCAAGACTACCACTTTGTTACTTTAGGAGCGCCGTAATGGTTTAGACAGCGCGAAGTGCGGTAGTGCCGCTGCTTCTGTTGGCGCTAATTCTGACGTCAGCATATGTCACTCCTGGTAAGGCCAGAACCTCAAAATAAGGCGATTCTGGTTCGCTCGAACGTTCTCGTCTTCTGTCTTCCAGCCAGCGCCCTCTTTGGTGTCTAGCAAGCACTGCTTGGAACAGAATACTAGGCAAGGTGCTCGAACATGGTAGTGTGCGCATGGTTGTTCGATGCCAATCATGTCCGATCACCGTGCGTGCTGTGGGCGTTACTCGGCCAAACCGTTACTCGTCTGGCTGATTCAACTGTAAATCTCAGTTAAAAAATGAAAATGCTAGAAAACGTGTGTCTCAATTAAAATGTGATGTTGATTCGATTTCTGCGCAGCGTACTCGCGGCTCGTCTCCCATCGACGCAGTCTGGCCCTCAGGGCCCTCTCCCTCCTCAAGTCCGACTCCACTTCGTCGACAGATTCCGTCCAGGTGCCAGCGACCAACGTCAAAGTGGAAATCCTGACTGGTTCCGTTGTGAATGGGGTCGTCGTGGGGGGCGGTGTCATTGGTGAGGGGGAGGGTAACCTTACGGGGCCCTTGCCATGAGGAGGAGATGGGGGTGCGGTAACAGTCGTGAGCACAGGAGCGCCGCCGCCCCCCCCGCCATGCGGAGAGCAGCAGGCTCCCCCCGCAGGCGGAGGGCAGGAGGCTCCCCCGACAGGCGAAGACCCGCAGGTTCCCCCAGGAGGCGTATATTAGTAGCGGGCCCGCAACAGCTCGGTATTGTGGTCCTTGTAGTATGTGCGTACGTGCAGCAGTGCGCGCCCTGTATTTCTATGATGGGCCTACTGTGGTTGGGCTGGGGAGTGTTATACTACGGCCATACTACATTCCTCGGCATAGGCTGGTTTTGTATAGACGTCGACTGCGTATTGACTTCCATGTCGGTGCCGACTGCCGAATTGTGCAGTTATGGGAGTTGGCCCCTTAGAAACCTGGGTGCTAAAATTACCATGTACATTCTACGAAAATTGTCTAGATACGGTAAAGTCCATGTGTAGGTTTGCAACATTGCTTGGAGCATTTCAGAGAGTGCGGTACAGCAGCACAGGTATGGATGATTCTGGAACATCTAGACTAGTACCATACAAGCCTGAGGAAAGTGGCTTCCACGTGCTTGCAAGCGTGGCTCGTGAAGGACAAGACATATCACCAGAAGGTAACTAAATTAGTATTCAGAAATAACCTTCAAGTGATGTTTATTCCACCTGCAATAGCGGTTTTGTTTGAATGCTTCACGAACAGGCCCCACGTTATCAGGGCAAAACATCCTGATTACCATGAATTCAGGATGTAGTTTTAAATTTACCCTGTCATTTCAGAATAGTGTAAATTTTAACTCAGAGGCCTCAGGATGTTTTTATATGAAATACCCTGAACATTCAGAATGGCTGTAGTGTTCTTCTCTGTAGCGTCAGGATGAATGCCGAGGCCTGCCCTGACGCGTTTTTTGGTGGAGGGAGGGGGGGGGGGGGGGGGGGGGGGGGGGGGGGGTTGAGGGGGGAGTCCCGTGGCAAAATTGTCGGTAACCGCTGAATCAACCATCTAAACATCCAGAAATGGCCTAGGCAGTAGAAAGTTACTTCCGAGAGATGAGGTCTTCGGATTGAACCCTCCCCCGTGCAGGCATATCTGTAGTTTCAACCTGACTTGCCGACCAACTATTATGAACCCTGAACGCTTATATTTTTGCCCTGACAGGCCAGGATATTTTTTTGTAGAAGCCCTGAAATTACAGGAAGCCTCCGAAAAGTTGCCCTGACAAATCAGGGCATTTTTTCAGATTCTGGAAAGTTGCCCTGAGGCCTCAGGATGCCCCAAAACCTAGCACAGGCCTTGTTCACGAATGATATATCAGAACTCTTTGTCGGAACTGTACAAGTGCCAGGCGTGTAATGCGGCGCATGTGCATTCAGACCTGCGACTCCTCCAGGCACCTGGCATCTCGCCGTGACCATCGGCCGCAAATGTCGCTAAAGGTTTATCTTTTCGTCAAGCACCAGCGAAAATATCGCTAGTCGCTATTGTGTTCCGCGCTTCTGCGAAGCCTGCGGTGCGAAACCAACATTTCGCTTTGTCGGAAAAAAAGAGAGCCCAGAAACAACGTGTTCCAGCCACCTTCCTTGAGTAAAAATGCGGTTCACCCGTCATTTATCACAAGCAGCACCATTCTCGCGGGTTCCTCAGCACAGCAGCCCAAAGAGGCTGCTTCCTTGTGTTTCCCCTTGTGTGTTTTCCCTGTCGCGTCTGCTCACCGCTAGCTGTTCTCCTCGCAAGCTTACACGAGTTTTTGCGACTCTGCGGTGACGGAATCCACAATGAAGTGGATTGCGCGAAGCGCGGCCGTGCCGCTGCTTCTGTTGGCGCTCCTTCTGACGTCATCTTATGTCACGCCTAGTGAGTTCCGCACATGTCAGCTTTTCGCGAATACGAATGCCTTCGAGACGCTTGGCATTCCTTGCAGGCTCATTGCTCTGGTCTTGAAAAAACAACCCACGTGCTTGGCTCCGTTGTGAATGGGGTCGTATCGGGGCCGGCGTAATCGGCGAGGGTGTAAGTTTCGCACCTCATAAGGTGTCAAGCCTGATGGATCACGCTTGATTGGCGAGGGGGTGAGTTTACACCTCCGTCGCGGATCCGGCAAACGTTTCTGCCACGTGTACGACAGTCTCGCCTCATGCGAAGAGGTAAGTTACGCAATTCATAAGGTGTAGCTCCGGCAAGCGATCCCGCCACGTGCGCGCCTGTGGCACAGGTGAGTTACGCCCCTCACACGTCGCTCCTGATGATTCCGAACCCCGGACTCGCAATCTCAAACGACCAAAAAGCTCTTCGCATCTCTGGCATTCCACTGTGCTCTCGCGTTCATTGCTCAGCAAACGTTGCTGTTTCATGTGGTCACTGTTTGATCCTCCATTGTCACTGTTTCGATACCGTCGGGGATTGTGCGCCCGTGTCGCCGAGATTGGTAAAAGCCTAACTAGCGGTAGTAGTACCCAGGCAGGCCGTCGTATGCTAGACGAACTAATATGCCTTTTTTTTCCTATTCGTTTCTCTCTGCGCAGCGTACACGCGTTTTGTCCCCAGTCGACGCATTCTGGCCCTCAGGGCCCTCTCCCTCCTCAAATCCGCCTCCCGTTCGTCAATGGAAACGAAAATCGTCAACGCGCTGACGGTCCAGGGCGGAGGCGGAACGCAGCAGGTTTCCCCGGGAAGCGGAGAGCCGCAGGGTTCCCCGGCGGGCGCACCATTTGGCGCACCGTTTGGCGCACCGTTTGGCGCACCGTTTGGCGCACCTCTTGGCGCACCCTCTGGTTCGCCCTCTGGTTCGCCCTCTGGTTCGCCCTCTGGTGCACCCTCTGGCGGGAAACCTGGAAAGGGTGGCAAGGGAGGGAAGGGTGGGAAGGGAGGGAAAAGGGGGGGCGCACCCTTCGGTTCACCCTCTGCTTCACCCTCTGGTTCACCCTCTGGGTCACCCTCTGGTTCACCCTCCGGCGCACCCTCCGGCGGAAAACCAGCAAAGGGTGGCAAGGGAGGGAATGGAGGAAAGGGGGGGGGGGGGGCCTCTGGTTCACCCTCCGGCGCACCCTCCGGAGGAAAACCAGCAAAGGGTGGCAAGGGAGGGAAGGGTGGGAACGGAGGAAAGGGGGGAGGCGCACCCTCTGGTTCACCCTCCGGTTCACCTTCCGGTTCACCCTCCGGTTCACCCTCCGGTTCACCTTCTGGTTCACCTTCTGGTTCACCTTCCGGTTTACCTTCCGGTTCACCTTCCGGTTCACCGTCCAGTTCACCTTCTGGTTCACCCTCCGGCGCACCATCTGGCGGGAAACCTGCAAAGGGCGGCAAGGGAGGGAAGGGAGGCAAGGGAGGCAACGGAGGGAAAGGAGGAAAAGGGGGCGCACCCTCTGGTTCACCCTCTGGTTCGCCCTCGGGTTCACCTTTCGGTCCACCCTCTGGCGCGCCCTCTTATTCCCCCTCTGGTTCACCCTCTGGTTCACCTTCCGGTTCACCTTCTAGTTCACCCTCTGGTTCACCCTCTGGTGCGCCCTCAAATTCACCCTCACCCTCTGGTTCATTTCCTGGTTCACCTTCAAGTTCATTCTCTGGTTCACCCTCTGGTTCATTCTCTGGTTCACCTTCTGGTTCATTTTCTGGTTCACCCTCTGGTTCATTCACAGGTTCACCCTCTGGTTCATTCTCAGGTTCACCCTCTGGTTCATTCTCAGGTTCACCCTCTGGTTCATTCTCAAGTTCACCCTCTGGTTCATTCTCAGGTTCACCCTCTGGTTCATTCTCAGGTTCACCCTCTGGTTCATTTTCAGGTCCACCCTCTAGTTCACCCTCTGGTTCACCCTATGGTTCGCCCTCTGGTTCACCCTCCAGTTCACCCACGGGCTCACCCTCTGGTTCATTCTGGTTCAGCCTCCCCTGACCTTTTCTCTGGTTCACTCTCTGGTTCACTCTCTGGTTCACTCTCTGGTTCACTCTCTGGTTCACTCTGGCACGAGGGGTGGGGAGAGGGGGGGGTGAGAAGGGAAGGGAGGGGGTACCGTTATCTACTCACAGCGAGGTGGGCGTTGCTGAAAGCTAGAAGGAAAGAGTGCTGTTCAAGGAACTGGAAATATTTAACTGTAATTTCATATTGAAAATGTTTTGGGCAAGTCTAAAAATATTGCACTTGTCATCCAGCAACAGGAATTAATGAATATTTTACCTCTCTTCAAATAACTTGTACATAGATATAGGCCAATGGCCAAGAGGACTGCCACTCTGCATGACTCTGTAGCGAGTATTCTCGGACCTAACCCCTCGTGCTGAGTTCCTCGATAGTTCATTCAGTTGCCGAGCGTCGTTCAGTAAAAAAATTCGCGTCGTTCCACCACTCGCCAGCGCCGTCGCTCTTCCTCGACGCAGCGATGGGTCCGCCCGGCGGCGATGCGGTAGCGGCGGCGGCGGAGAACACAAAGTGGCACAGCGCGCGAGAGAGGCAGACCGTTCTCGCCGTCGCTTCCGCCACCGCTGACGTCATCAGATCCCAGGGCCTGTCGCCGTCACCCACGGCGTACTTCGCGGCGCTTTTTTCGGCATTAGAGACGGCAGAGTCGCTGAAATCCGCATTTGAAAGTCGAGGAGCGGCCGGCGCGGAGGTCCCGAAACCCCTCGATAAACCTGTGAACGGTCTAGATGCTGTCTTAGCGCTGCTGGATCTCGCGATCCCTCTCACGCCGGAGTCGATCGTACGGCTGAACGCAGCCCGGCTCCTGCCACTGCTAACTGCCGCCGTCGATCTTTGGGGGGCTACAAACGCAACCGGACCTACTAATAGCGCGGATAAGGTGGTAGGAGAAGAATTGATGGAGGAAGAGGACGAAGCTGGCAAAACGACAAAAAGCCCGGGCGGCAGTGTGGGCGGCACAGGGCAGGCGTGGGCGGAGGATCGGCGGAGGGTGGTTGCGGCGGCGGTGGATTGTCTGGGGTATGTGATTGCAGCGAGGGTTGCGGGCTGCGGCGACCCCAAGAACGCGTGGACGGCTGACGTGGCGGCGGGTTTTAAGGCGGTGTTGGATCACTCTGTAGCGAGTCAGCCGAAGGTGCGTTGCAATGGTCGGTTCTTGTCAGTTTCGAGTCGTTTTTTTAGTTCCTCTCCCCCCTTCTCTTCCTCTCTCCCCCCCAACAACCCCTCACCCCCACCCACCCCCACCCGAACCTTGCCGCGTAACGGCATCCTGCGTCTCACAACGGCAAGCTGAATTACTCGCATCATTGAGGGTTCGGGGTTTAACCATCTGATTCCACAATGCGGTCAGAGTTTTAGGGTTCGGGCTTCATATGGGCCAATCCTCTTACCGTCCTCTCTCTAATCCTCCCCGCTTCTCCCCCTTCCCTTCCCTCCTACCCTTGCCCTGCACCCCCTGTTCTCCCCTCACATTTCCTGCCCTGCCCTGCTCCCCCTTCCCTTACCCTTCCCGGCCCTTGCCGCTGCACCTACCCCTGCCCCTCTCCCCTGCCCTTCCGCCGCCCCGGCCCCTCTCCGCCCTCCCCCCCCCCTCCATCCCAACTTTGCCCCCTCTTGTCCACGTGCAGGTTCGCAGCGTGGCGCAATCCGCCCTCCTGAAGCTTCTCAGCACCTTCCGCGCCTCTCCCGCCGCCCTTGCCGCTGCCTCCACAGCACTCGTCGATTTCGCCGACGCCCTCATCGTCCGGGCGCTCGCTCCTTCCAAGCAGCTCGAACAGCCACGTCAGCAGCCACGTCAGCAGCAGCAATCGTTACAAGAGGCAGCTGCGACATCAGCGGCAGCAGTGCTCCGTTTCATCTCCTGCCTCCGCCCGCTGCTCCCGCTCCTCTCCCCTCCCTCCCTGCCACGTGTCACTCTCCGATTGGTCGAGCTTCTCGAGATTCGACACCCTCTTCTCGCCTGCCGTGTGCTGGACGCCCTCCACTCGCTTATGTCAGCTCCAGCCCCGGCCACGTCAGCTGCAACGTCACCCGTCTCTAAATCCCTCATTTCAGAGGTGGTGGCGCGATTGCTGAAGCAGGAGGGGGAGAGACAGGCGATGGGGGGAGGGGCGGGCGGCGGGTGGGGGGCAGGGGGCGGGGGAGGCGCAGGGGGGAGGGGGAAAACGGATGTAGCAGCGGTGCGCGCTCTGCTGGAGTGCGTGCGGGCGGCGTTGATTCGTCTGCATGCGATGGACGCTGAGGCGTGCGTCAGCCTGCTGCCGTCCACGTTCTTCACTCTCATTGGTCAGTTTCGTATGATTGTGCAACAGCATCATGGGTGGGTGTATGACCAAATAATGTCTTTAGGCTTTATGACTGTGGCCTCACTCCCATACATACCCACCTCCCTCCCTCTACCTACCTCCCTTCCCCCACCACCACGCCTCTCCCTCCCCTTTCCCACCACCAGACAACCTAGCGAGTGGGCACGAGGAGGTGGCATTCGCCACAGCGGACTGCTTCAAGGCGCTTATCTGCGCCTGCATATCCCTCTCCCACCTCCCTTCTCCCATCACCACCCCTCTCCCCCCCTCCCCTCCTCCTTCTCCCCAAGCCAGACAACCTGGCGAGTGGGCACGAGGAGGTGGCATTCGCCACAGCGGACTGCCTCAAGGCGCTCATCTCCTCCTGCCTCGACGACACTGCTGTCGCCGCCTCTGCTGGCGTCAGGGTGGTGCTTCAATTCAATGCAGTGCTCTGCTGTTCCCATCATCCCCACCCCCCCCTCATAAACCAGACAACCTGGCGAGCGGGCACGAGGAGGTGGCATTCGCCACAGCGGACTGCCTCAAGGCGCTCATCTCCTCCTGCCTCGACGACACTGCTGTCGCCGCCTCTGCTGGCGTCAGGGTGGTGCTTCAATTCAATGCAGTGCTCTGCTGTTCCCATCATCCCCACCCCCCCCTCATAAACCAGACAACCTGGCGAGCGGGCACGAGGAGGTGGCGTTCGCCACGGCGGACTGCCTCAAGGCTTTAATTTCCACCTGCCTCGACGATGCTGCTGTTGCTGCCTCTGCCGCTATCGTGCAGCAGCGCCAGGCACAGGAAGGCGCAGGGGGGGAAGCAGGGGGAGCAGGGGGAGGGGGAGGGAAGGGGAAAGCGCCGGTGGAGCGGGTGTGTGTGGCAGTGGAGCGGGCGCTGGGGTATCAGTTCCGTGCCTCGTGGGACCTGTCGTTGCTTCTTGTGGCTACCCTCTTTGACCGCATCGGTGAGTCATGAGGCAGGGCAGAGTGAGGAGAGAGGAGAAGCGTGGCATGGAGGGAAGGAAGCAAGTCACGAGTGAGAGAAGGTGGCAAGGGGGAAAGCGCCAGTGGAGCGGGTGTGCGTGGTGGTGGAGTGTGTGTGTGGCGGTGGAGTGTGTGTGTGGCGGTGGAGTGTGTGTGTGGCGGTGGAGTGTGTGTGTGGCGGTGGAGTGTGTGTGTGGCGGTGGAGTGTGTGTGTGGCGGTGGAGCGGTCGCTGTGTACCAGTTCCGTGCGTCGTGGGACCTGTCTCTGCTGCTCTCTTTGACCGTATTGGTAAGTCGTTACCAACACGGGACGCGGGACGCGAGGGGAGCCGCTATGGCCCCCCAACGCTTCCGCGGCACTACTGTCCGCTCAACCACCTCTCCTTTCCTCCCCGCCCCCGCTTCCCCCCCTGCCCCCACTGTCCCGTCTCTCTACCCCCAAACGCAGGTCCCTCCTCCCACCTGTTCCTCGCGCCAACCCTCACCACGCTGGCTGATTTACACGACTTACCAGACACAGAGATGGCTCACCGCAAGCACCTGCACGCTGCTCTCGGCGCTGCTGTTGCCGCCATGGGTCCCTCCCGCTTCCTCTCCATCCTCCCCCTTGGCCTCGACCCCGAACCTGCTCCCGCACCTGCTGCCGGACCTAGTGCTGCAGCAGCAGCAGGAGCAGGAGGAGCGGCTGCAGCATCAGCCAATCCCGCGGCGCCACGTGTCTGGCTGCTGCCAATCCTGCGCCGGCACACTGCGGGCGAGTCGCTCTCCTTCGTCCTCACCGCCCTCCTCCCCCTCTCCCACCGCCTCCTGCTCGCCGCCCAGCAAGCCCGCTCGCCCCAGGTCGACCGGCCAATCGCGGCCAAGCAGCTGGCGGCGCTGCGGGCGGCGGTGTGGTCGCTGCTGCCAGCTGTCGCCAGCCTGGCGCCCGACACTGCGCAGGTGGGGGGATACGGGTGGGAAGAGAGGAGGTGGGGAGCGGGAGAGACGTGGGGGGATGGTGGGTGGAGTAAGCAGGGGGGAGGTGATTGAGAGGAAGGGGCAGTTGGGAGGAAGGGGCAGTTGGGGGAGGTGGGGAGGTGGGTGACTGGATTGGATTGAGGGATGGGAGTTTTTTTGACAGAAGCACTGCCGTCAAATCCTTACCTGATTTCCTTCCTTTCTCCCCCCTTTTTGGATACTCCCCAACTGCATTGATTCGCGTGCAGGTGTTTCCGCACTTAGCTAAGCACCTGGCGGAAGCAGTGGCAGCAGGAGGGAAGGGCGATGAGGGCGATGGAATCCGGTCTGCAGTCTGTGTCACCCTGCAGGTAACGCGAGTCTCTAACGAGTCTCTGTTTTGTTTATCAAATTCTCTCTAGCCTGCGTTTTTTGAGTCGACTGGAATCCGGTCTGCAGTCTGTGTCACCCTGCAGGTAAAGCGAGTCTCTCTCTCCAATCTGCTTTTGTAACCTTACCACCCTCTGTGTCCCTCCCCAGACTAGTTTTTGCCCGCTCTATGCCCATCTCCTCGTGCAAACAGGGTTTTTTTTAAGAATTTACTAGAATTGAGAAAACCCTGCAGCATTATTGACTAGTTTTTGCCCGCTCTGTGCCCATCTCCTCCTGCAAACTCGCACCTTTCCCATCCCGTCACTTCCCCCCACCCACTCGTCACCTCCTCCCCTTCTTCCACTCTTCCCTCCCCCCTCGTCCCCTCTGTGCTCCGTTCCTTCCACCAGCTCATGGTGGACCAGAACCGCATGGCCATAAGTCGCGTGCCCCTCACCAAGTGCAAGAAAATACCCACATACCCATCCCCCTTCACCTCCTTCCCTCCTCTCCCCCCTACCCCCACCAGCTCATGGTGGATCAGAATCGCATGGCCATGGGTCGCCCGCCCCTCTCCAACATCTAGCAACACCCAGCAACCCCCTTACCCTCCAACCGCCCCCATCCCTTCTCCCTCCCCTGTCCCTTCTCAGCTCATGGTGGATCAGAACCGCATGGCCATGGGTCGTCCGCCCCTCTCCAAGCGCCTCACAGCCTTTGATGGCCTCTCAGGTGCTCCCACCACCGCCCTTGCTTCTGCCATCACGGACAGTGCTGCTTCTGACTCTGCTGGAGCGGCTGCTGCTGCTTCCTCTGCAGCACCTGAAGCAGAAGCAGCGTTCCGGGCGGCACTAGAGGACGACGACGACACCACTGACGCCGAGCGCCGCGCGTGGCGCCAGCTCACCGCTGACGTGGCAGCCGCCAACCTGGCGGCCATGTCAGCATCTGCGCGTCCCTTCCTCCCGATGCTGTTTGACGCGTTCGTGGCGGCCCCATCAGCCAAGAGGGGCGAACTTCAGAGCGCCATCAGGGCTCTCGCTGCTGTGGCTGACCCGGCGGCCCTTCGACTGTTCTTCACCAATATCATGAGCAAACTGCTCTCCGCTACAAATGCTGCTGCCTCTGGTGGAGCAGCATCAGGAGCCGCAGGGGGGGATGCGAGCAAGGAAGCTGGAGAGAAGAGGTGAGTGGGGGTGAATGAATGACTGCTCTTCACAAATACTATGAACAAATTGCTCTCCGTTACACAGGCTGTTGCTGGTGGTGGTGCTGCCATGCTGGTGGGGCAGCAGGAGCAGGGGATGCGAGCAAGGAAGGTGGAGGCTATAGGTGAGTGAGAGGGGTTTTTGACTTTTGAGACGTCTCAAAAGCTGGAGGCTATAGGTGAGTGAGAGGGGCGATCAGGACTGATCTGAGCTCCCCCTCCCCCCTCTCTCTTGGCAGGAATGCTGCCGTGCGTTGCACAAACAGCAGGCGTCATCTTCCGTATGTGTTTTGCCCTTCCCAACCCCCCAGGGCCATGCTGATGGATCTATCGCTCTCCCTGCTACCTGGCTTGGACGTGGAGTGCTGCCGAGCGCTCTACAACGCAACGAGGCCTGCCATCCAGGACAAGTCGGCTGCCGTGCAGAAGAAGGCTTACAAGCTCCTCGCATCACTGCTTGAGGTATGGATTGCCATGCCATTACCACCACCGTCACCACCATCATCACCACCACCACCATCACCATTCAGGATAAGTCGGCTGCCGTGCAGAAGAAGGCATACAAGCTGCTCGCATCGCTGCTTGAGGTATGCTCTTTTATGCGAGGTTCCGCTGCCTCGTAAAGCCTCGTGACAGGCCCTGCGAGGGGCCTGTGCCATCTCTCTTGCTCCTGCTCTACTCCTGTTCCTGCCCCTGCCATCTCCCATACCTGCAGATTTATTTACCCAAACTCCTGAACCAGAAATCGGAGGCTGTTGCAGGAGCAGCAGCAGAAGCAGAAGCAGGGGCAGGGACAGGGGGAGAGGCGTGGTGCACTCGCTGTCTCGCCACTACCGCACACCTTGCCCCCCTCTCGCCTTCTTTCTGTTTCCTCCCGTATTACACCCTTTCCTTACCCGCAGACTCACCCAGAGCTCCTGAGCCAGCAATCAGAGGTCGCAGCAGGAGGAGCAGAAGGGGCAGCAGCAGCAGGGAGAGGCGTGTTGGCAAGGGCGGTGTTGCAGGAGGTGCTGGTGGGAGTGGGACGGGTGCACTCGTCCATACCTCTTCCGTTTCCTCCCATCTTCCACCCACCCCGTCCCGAACTGCAGACCCACCCAGAGCTCCTGAGCCAGCAATCGGAGGCTGTGGCAGGAGCAGCAGGAGGAGGAGAAGCAGCAGCAGGGGGGGGCGTGTCAGCAAGGGCAGTGTTGGAGGAGTTGCTGATGGGCGTGGGTGGGGTGCACTCGCCGTCTCGCCACTACCGCATGAAGAGCCTGTCAGCCGTGCTGCTGGATCTGGCTCATTCCGATGTCCCCGCTTTTCACGAGGCAGTGGCTGCCACTCTCACTGAGATTGTGCTGTCCGTGAAAGAGGTGAGGAGGCGGGGTGGAGGTAGGTGGTGAGAGGGATGAGAGGGAAGGAGAGGGATGGAGGCATTACCGCATGAAGAGCCTCTCAGCCGTGCGGCTGCATCTGGCTCGCTCCGATGTCCCGGCGTTCCATGAGGCAGTTGCGGCCACGCTCACTGAGATTGTGCTGTCCGTGAAAGAGGTGAGGTGATGGCTTTAACACAAGATCAAGCAGCATTACGGCATCAAGAGCCTGTCAGCCGTGCTGCTGCGTCTGGCTCGTTCTGATATCCCGCTCACTGAGGTTGTGCTGTCCGTGAAAGAGGTGAGGAGGAGGGGGGGGGGGGGGGGGGGTTGGGGAAGAGGGAACAAGAGGTAAGGGGTTGGCTTCACGGCACTACCCCGTCTCGCCACTACCCTGTCTCGCCACTACCCCGTCTCGCCACTACCCCGTCTCGCCACTACCCCGTCTCGCCACTACCCCGTCTCGCCACTACCCCGTCTCGCCACTACCCCGTCTCGCCACTACCCCGTCTCGCCACTACCCTGTCTCGCCACTACCCTGTCTCGCCACTACCCCGTCTCGCCACTACCCCGTCTCGCCACTACCGCATGAAGAGACTGTCAGCCGGGGTGCTGCACCTGGCTCGCTCCAATGTTCCTGCGTTTCATGAAGCAGTGGCTGCCACACTCACTGAGATTGTGCTGTCCGTGAAAGAGGTGAGGTGATGGCTTGAACACACTATCTGATCCAAGAGCTTTCCAATCTCATTGTGCTGCTGCAACTCACGCTCTTCTCACACACTCCCTCTTTCTCCCTTCCCAGGTGAACCGCAAGGCCCGGGATGCAGCCTATCAGCTCATCATAGCTCTCGCCAAGGAGATGCAGCGACTGGCAGACGAGCAGCACGAGCAGAAATTCTTGGCGGCTGGAGGGATCATGTACGGCGGCTTCAGTGGCGATCAGTCCATGGATGGTGCTGGTTCCGCTGATGATGATGATGCCGATTCGCCCTTCCTCAAGTTCTTCACCATGGTTCGTTCGTTCCCTCGTTTCTCGGAGTTCCTTTTCTCGATTCACCATTCTCTTTGTGCGCGAAAAAGCCGGAGACTTTTGAGTCGACTCACAAGTCAAGGCTGGTACTGCTCACAACCGTATGGTTTCCCCCCCTCTGCATCTGCTTGCCCCCTTTCCTTGCACCTCTCACAGGTGATGGCAGGGCTAGCCAGCAGCACCCCGCACGGCCAGAGCGCAGCAGTGATGGCCCTGGCTCGCCTCATCTTCCACTTCTCCTCCTCGCTGCTCCACCTCGTCCCCTCGCTCCTCCCGTCCCTCCTCCTCCTCTTCCGCTCGCCGCACCGCGACGTGCTCAAGGCGTGTCTGGGCCTGGTGAAGGTGCTATCTGTGCGCCTGGAAACTGCTGACCTGGAGGCTCACCTGCCGGCGATCATGAGTGCTCTGCTGTGCACGAATGAAATCGTTGCAACCAGGTTCAAGGCCAAGGTATGATCATGAATGCTCCAGGCATGTCTGGGCTGGGCCTGGTGAAATGCAATTTGGTTCAAGGCCAAGGTAATGATATGGAGTGGAATGCTTTGAGACGTCTCAAAAGACTTCTTCAAACACGTGAAATGCAACCCGGTCCAAGGCCAAGGTAATGACATGGAGTGGAATGCTCAAGCGCTGCTCCCTGCTCCCTGCTGCCTGCTGCCTTCACCCTGCTGCCTGCTTACTGTCAGTCCTACCCATTCTCTATCCCTTCCCCACCCTCCCCCCCACTCTCGTCCCCCCCTCAGGTGCGCAAGATAGTGCAGCGGCTGGCGAGGCGATGCGGCCATGCGACGGTGGCAGCAGTGGTGCCGGAGGAGCATCAGCGCCTGCTCACTCACATCCGCAAGGTGGGTGGGTCTCTTTCAGGGCGGACAGGTGAGTCTCAGGGCTAGTATCCTTCTATGTGCTGCTGCCGCCCTGCCGTGCAACGGTGGCGAGGTGACTTTTGAGTCGACTCAAAAGTCACCTCAAGGCTAGTATCCTTCCGTGTGCTGCTGCCGCCCTGCCGTGCAACGGTGGCCGGAGCAAAGGGGGGGATGGACAGGTGCCTTGGCTACTTACTCATTTCCTCCTCGTGTTCCCCCTTCTGGTTCCCCTTGTGTGCTGCACCGTTTCAACCCTATTCTGTGGCAGGAGGTGGCCCGAGCAGCCAAGGCCAAGGAGAAGAAGCGTGGTGGAACGGGGGAAAAGGGTGGGCTGGGGGGCGGGTTGTTGTAACACTCTCTCATTTGCCCCTCGTTCCTCCTTCTATCTCCTATTCTGTGGCAGGAGGTGGCCCGAGCAGCCAAGTCTAAGGAGAAGAAGCGCGGAGGAGCAGGGGCGAAGGGCTCGCAGGCAGGGGATGGGGAGGAGGGGGGAGAGGGGAGGTCGACCATGTCGGGCAGAAGCAGGGCGAGGTGAGTGGTGGGGTGTAGGGTTCCCGTGGGGGGGAGGTTGGGAGTGAGGGGGCGAGGAGTGGTGTGGTGTAGGGTTCCTGTTGCTGGATTAAGTCGATGTTTTGTTTAAACTGGCTCTCTAAGACAACGCTCTAAGCTCACAGTTAACCGGGAAATCCATCCATCCCATGGGGTTTGTCTCGTCGTTTTAAATCACCATACAAGTTGATGGACGTAAGGCCTCCGCAGCCCACCTGTCTGCGTTCAACAGCAGGGCCAGGTGAGTGGTGTGGTGTAGGATTCCCGTGGGGGGGGGGTTGGGAGTGAGGGGGCGAGGAGGGGGCAATTCTGTCCTCCCCATGCATCTGTCTTCACTCTTTTCCCCCTCCGCTTGTACCCTCTTCCCTCTTACCTCTTCCTTCTGCCCTCTTACCTCTTCCTTCTGCCCTCTTACCTCTTCCTTCTGCCCTCTTACCTCTTCCCTCTGCCCTCTGCCCTCTTTACTCTTCCCTCTTCCCTCTCATTTTTCCCTGTGCCGCAGAACGAGCGACTGGAGCCACTCCAACCTCTTTTCCGACACGTCAGCGGACGGCGATTTCAGCGATGACGAGGATTACAGCGATGCTGACGAGGACGAACGCAGCGTGTTCGGCGGCAAATCACGCGCCGCCAAGTCAGCATCCCGCCAGGACGGGTCAAAAAAGTCTGCGTGGTCGAACGCGCTCTCGTCCAGGTGTGCTGACGTGGCATGGGGTGTGGCATGGGGTGGGCAATGGGTTGGGGCATGTGGTGTGGTTCTGTAGGTGTGGGTTCTTCTCTTCTCTTGGTAATTGCAGCTGATGGCAATGTATGTTGTATGCCAGCCCATCTCTCCCAATGCAATCCTGCTTCCTGTGCTTTCTCTTTCTCCCATTCCGCCTTGTTGCCCACCTTGCATTCTCCCACCCACACCACTCCCACCCTTTCCCGCTCCCTACGGAGCGGGCAAGAAGGCGCAGCACAGCAGGCCACAGCTGCACAAAAGCAGTTGCTTTGGTCTTCTCTATGTGCTCCGTCACTCTCTCATCTCACACTCTCTCCCCTCTCCCACACTCACCCTCCTCCCCCCCCCCCTCCCTCCTTCAGGGCAAGCAAGAAGGCGCAGCACGGCAGGCCGCAGCTGCACGAGCGGATCACGGAGACAGGTGGCGACACGCCATTGGACCTGCTCGATCTAGCAGGCACACGCCGGGCCCTCTCTGCCCCCCTGCTCAAGCCCACCCGCGGGACTAATTCTTCTGCTGTTGGGGGTCGTACTGGTGCTGGTGGTGGTGGTTCGAAGCGGCATCGTGATGGGGATGGGGAGGAGGAAGGGGGGGATTCGGGATTCGAGTATACAGAGGATGGAAAGATAGTTGTTCCAGATGAGACCGAGGGGGGAGAGGGTGGTAGGGGTGGGGGGAGTGGGAGGAAAGGAGGAACCAGGAAGGGTGTGGGCGCAGGGGAGGATGACGGAGAGGGGAATTTGGACTATGGGGTAATAGAGGATGATGACGTGGCGATGGGCGATGCCAGCCTGGCATCTGCGAGGGCCGCTGAGCTGGCGTTTGGCCGTCGTGTCCGCGGGGCGCGAGGTGCAGGAGGAGGAGGAGAAGGGGGAGAAGAGAGAGGGGGTGCTGGTGCTGGTGGTGGTGGTGGGAGGAAAAAGGCCAAGGCCAATTCTGGCCAGGCCATTCCTTCTGGTAAGGATAAACGTGGCGGGAAGAAGCAGACTGGTAGTGGTAGTGGGTGGTCTTATACAGGGGATGAATATGCCGCAGGCAGCGGGCGGCGTGCGGGCGGCGATGTGAAGAAGGAAGGGAAGCTGGAGCCTCACGCATACTGGCCGTTGGATGCAAAGATGCTCAATCGGAGGGCTGGGAAGCTTGCAGCGGCACGGAGGGGAATGACCAGTGTGATGGGGGCGGGGGGGAAGAAGGGGGGGAGGGGGATCGGGAGGGGGAGGAGGAGCAGGAGGAGGGAAGGGTGGGGCGGGGAAGAAGCAGCACAAGGGGCACAAGGGGAAGGGGAAAGGAAAGGCGTAGGGTTAGAGGGAGTGAGCATGGATCCAAGGCCTTGAGCTTTGGCTGTGGCGTGGGCATGAGTGTGTGTGGGCTATGTGGCACAGCCCCCAGTCATCCCCACCCAGTTTCATCCCTCTAGCCCCCCTGTGGCGGTTCACAACACAGCTGGCTGTGTCCTGCCCTGCCGGCCCTCCTCCTAGGGCCACCTTCATGGATTCATACACCATTGTGTATGTGAAGTGGAAGTACCAGTAGTGCTGGTTGCTGGCTGGGTCTAGGATTCAGTCATGTTTTTAGTAGAAACATTGCATTGCAGTAGATTAGCCTGTCAAGGTTTTGGGGCAGGCTGAAAAGAACAGAAAAGGTTTAATTTGAGAGGGTACGTTTCAGTCTAGTGTGCAGTGTAATACGGTATGTTAAAGACCATAATAATGTCAAATGTTGTAGCCTGTAGTGAGGTTTGTCTTAGGGGGTACAGAAGTTAGGGTTTGTCATATGTACCCCAATCAACATCAATGCAACCACCATTCCTCATTCTGACATGGTATCAGCTAGGTTAGGATCCTGTGGGATCCCGTTCCTCCGTTCTCCGTTCGTACCTCCCGAGCCTGATCCTACCCCTCGTTCGTACCAGTTCCGTTGTTTACCGCGCCTAGTACCGAGCCTAGCGCCCTTTCCCCGTCGCTTAGCGCCCTTTCTACCCGTCGCCTAGCGCCCCCCCCCCCCCCCCCCCCCCCCCCCCCCCCCCCCCCCCCCCCCCCCCCCCCCCCCCCCCCCCCCCCCCCCCCCCCCCCCCCCCCACCCGTCGCGTTCGCGCCCTTTTCCCCCCGTCGCGTCACGCCCTTTCCCCCCCGTCGCGTCGCGCCCGTTCCCCCCGTCGCGTCGTGCACGCCTGTTCCCCCCCCGTCCCGTCGCCCTGTCCCGTCGCGTCGCCCTACCCCGTCGCGTCGCACTGCCCCGTCCCGTCGCCCTGCCCCGTCGCGCCGCCCTGCCCCGTCGCGTCGCCCTGTCCCGTCGCGTCGCCCTGCCCCGTCGCGTCGCTCCCGCCCTTTCCCCCGTCGCGTCGCCCTGCCCTACGCCCTGGCCCGTCGCCCTGCCCTAAGCCCTGGCCCGTCGCCCTACCCTAGGCCCTGGCCCGTCGCCCTCCCTAAGTCCTGGCCCGTCGCCCTACCCTAGACTCTGGCCCGTCGCCCTACCCTAGGCCCTGGCCCGTCGCCCTACCCTAGGCCCTGGCCCGTCGCCCTCCCTACGCCCTGGCCCGTCGCCCTACCCTAGGCTCTGGCCCGTTGCCCTCCCTAAGCCCTGGCCCGTCGCCCTACCCTAGGCCCTGGCCCGTTGCCCTACCCTACGTCCTGGCCCGTCGCCCTAGCCCGCTCTTCCGCTGCGACCGAGTCCTCTTCTCCCCCGGTTGTTACTCGCCTGTTCGTTCGCTTTAGTCCTCACTATGGCGACTCCGCGAGTTCTTCGTTTCGACGCTGACGGTAGACCCCTTGACTTTTCCGTCTGGCTTCTTCGCGCTCGCCGTCTGTTAGAGAGTCAGGTCCAGGGGGGCGAGACCCTCTGGTCACACGCTACTGGTGACCTCCCTGAGCCCCCCGAGCCTACAACTTTAGGCCCTGCTCCTGACGACGCTGCTACGGCTCGCTTTGCCCGTCAGCGCGCTGACCGGACGGCTTGGACGTCGCGTGACGCTGCGGCCTGCATCGCACTCAGCAGCCTCCTCCCTGAGTCCGAGGAGGTCCACTTTACTCAGGTTCGCACCGCTGCTGCGTACCTCACTGCGATTAAGGCCCGCTACTCTACTCCCGCTACTGTCTCTCTTGGCCGTCTTTTCCTCCCGTTCCTGTTTCCTGATCTTGCCTCGTTTGAGCGCTCTGCTGACTTGATCGCTCACCTCCGCTCGCTCGACGCTAGTTACCGCGCTGCTTGCACTGAGGCACAGCTTACACTGCTTCCTCCCCCCATGGCGATCACTGTCTATTTCATCGCCACTAGCCTCCCTGACCGCCTTGCCTCCGTTCGTGACGCGCTTCTGCTGAAGCACCCTAGTGAGCTGACTATCGAGGTCCTTGAGTCTGCACTCAAGGACGTCGAGAGCAACCTTCGTTCGGTAGCTGCCGCCTCTGGTACTGTGTCCCCCCCACTCTTCCACGGGTGCACAGTCCCGCAGTTACCCACCTTCACTGCCTCTCTTGCCACTGCCGCTACTGACGCGACTGCGGCTGCTGTTACGACTGCGTCGCGGTCCCGCGGCAGGGGGGGCAAGAAAGGTGGTTCTGGTGGAGGTGGAGGCGGAGGTAGCGGAGGTAGTGGGGGTGCTGTTGCGACTGGGGGTGGTGGGAGTGCAGCGTCTGGAGAGACCCCTCGTGCAGCGGCTGGTGACTCCACTGCACCTGCTGGTGGCGGCGACCCCCGAGCTCGTCAGTCGCCTCCTGTACTGCCGGCCCCGCTAGGTGGAGCAGCGGCGTGGTACCAGGCTCAGCGTCAGCAGCACCTTCAGCAGCAGCAGCAGCAGCGTCAGCAGCTGGCTCCGGGGTCGGGGCTGCGTCAGCCCCAGCGCGGTGCGGCTTACCCTCCCTGCCCCTACCAGGTTCAGACAGGTCCTCGTCGGGGCCACCCTTGTGGCCGCTTTCACCCCCCTGGTCAGTGCTTTGCTCAGCTCACTGACACGGTCCGGTTGACCTACGGGGTTGGCGGTCCTGCTCCTGACTGGCTTCCTCTGGTTCAGCGCTACGGCTCCGCTCTGTGGGGCATGTCTGCTGAGCAGTTAGTTGATCTGATTAGTGTTCCTCATGCTATGTATGCTGTTGTTGACTCTAGTGTTTCTGACTCTGTTTACTCTGGTGTTTTTAGCTTAGGTGCTAGTCTTGCTCAGTTGCCTGTTGCTAGTGTAGGTACTTGTGTAGACTCTAGACCAGCGACTACCTCAGGGGACGCTTCGCTGTCGTTCACACTGGACTCTGGAGCCTCCCACTGCTTCTTCCGGGACAGCACGACACTTACACCACTTCCTGCGCCTGTTTCTGTAGCGTTGGCTGATCCCACTACGGGACCAGTCACTGCACGTCACACTACCACTTTACCGTGTCCTGCTGCTCCCTCCGGGTCTCTCACTGGGTTTCACGTCCCCTCGTTCTCCCGGAACTTGGTGGGCGTGCGACCCCTCGTGAGTCAGCACGTGGGTGTGTGGTTTGAGCCTTCTGGAGAGACTGCGGTGTGTGTTGACGGAGACTCTTACCAGCCTCTTGCTACATTTACTGCTGAGCCGGGCTCGGGTCTCTACACTCTTCACACTGGCCCGCGTGCGCCGCAGCAGCAGCCGCAGCAGCAGCAGCAGCCGCAGCCGCAGCAGCAGCAGCAGCAGCAGCACCAGCGGCCGCACCAGCAGCCCCCCCTACTGCCACTGCCCCCGGTTCCCCCCCCCGTTCGGGTCCCCGTGTCTCACCAGGTTGCTTTGTCCCCCCAGGTGTCTGTGTCGTGTCAGGTTCCTACGTCTGTTCCAGTCGCTGCGTCGTGCTCCTGCCGGTCGCTTGCCCACCCCACCGTTCTGTGGCACCACCGGATGGGGCACCCGTCCCTTCCTCGTCTGCGCGCTATGTCTAGTCAGCGTCTTGTCCTAGGCCTCCCACGTGTCTTGCCGTCGCTGCCGCCTTCGCTTGCGCCGCCGTGTCGTCCCTGCGTCGAGGGTAGGCTGCGCGCCACCCCTCACTCCTCCTCCCTTCGTCCGGCCACCGAGCCTTTTGAGACGCTTCACTCGGACGTCTGGGGCCCCGCCCCTCGTCTAGGCCCTGAGCGTGAGCGTTACTTTCTGGTGGTCGTTGACGACTTCTCCCGCTACACCACAGTGTTCCCACTGGCGAAGAAGTCTGAGGTGACTTCTACGCTGATCAGGTGGTTGCTCACCACCGAGGACACTCGTGGTCGTCGTGTCAGCTGTCTCCACTCCGACCGTGACGGTGAGTTTCGCTCCGGCATTCTCGCTGGATTCTGTCGCGAGCAGGGCATTCGTCAGTCCTGGACGCTTCCAGAGTCCCCACAGCAGAATGGGGTTGCTGAGCGCCGCATAGGCCTGGTCATGGAGATCGCCCGCACCTCCCTGACTCACGCCTGTGCCCCCCATTTTCTGTGGCCCTACGCGGTCAGGTACGCCGCGCACCAGCTGAACCTCTGGCCACGTGTCTCTCGACCAGAGGTTTCACCGACCAGTGTTTGGACAGGGTCCCCTGGTGTTGCGTCGCGGTTTCGTGTCTGGGGGTGCTTGGCTCTTGTCCGCGACACCTCCGCGGACAAGCTCTCGCCTCGTGCCGTCCCCTGTGTCTTCCTTGGTTTCCCTGAGGACTCCTCTGACTTCACCTTTTACCACCCTCCCTCTCACCGGTTCTTTGACTCCCGTGACGTCCGTTTCGAGGAGTCCACTCCGTACTACGTCAGGTACCCCAGTCGAGGTCTCCCGGTTCCTCCTCCCCCCCTCTTCCTGACTGCCGCTCCCCCTCCTGCTCCCCCGGTACAGCCTCCCCCCCCTGGCCCAGCCCCGTCAGGTGTGTCCCAGGCTACCCCTCCTCCTTCGGTAGCCCCTCCGGTACAGCCTCCCTCCCCACAGTCCTCCTCGCAGCGTGCCGCTGGTGCTAGCTCTCGAGAGGTTGGTGCTGCGCCTGTTCCTGTACCGGTTTCTGGTTCTGGGGGTGCTGGAGTTGGAGCTGGTGTTGGAGCTGGAGGTGGAGCTGGAGTAGGCACTGGAGTTTCTGGTTCTGGGGGTGCTGGAGTTGGAGCTGGAGTTTCTGGTTCTGGAGTTGGAGCTGACCCGGTGGGTGCAGAGGACTCTTGTCGTCCGGGAGCCGGTGCTGGCCGCGCGGACTCTGGGGGTGCTCCCTCTGGGGGTGAGGGTGCGCCTGCTTCGGGTTCTGGTGCGCCTGGGTCTGGAGCTGGTGTTAGTGCTGCCTCTGGGGGTGGTGCGCCTGGTTCTTTGGGGGTTGACTCTGGAGCTGCCGCTGGTTCGGACACTACTCCGCCCCCCCACCCCTACCCGACTAGGCACCAGGCTCGTGTTCGCCGTGCCCGTGACGAGCAGCTGGAGTTGGAGAGAGAGGAGAGGGAGTTACAGCGGCTGGCGGAGCAGCAGCGGCAGCTGGACCCGCAGGAGCAGCAGTCCCAGCAGCAGCCGCGTCCGCAGCAGCAGCAGTCGCAGCAGCAGCAGCAGCAGCCACTTCCTCCTCCTGTCTCGGGTCTTCGGGCCCTTGGTCTCCCCTCCCCTTCTC